ATAAATAATAATAGCGCAATAATAGTGATAACATTAATTAGAATAGAACAGAATAGAAACATTTATTGCCATACAATTACAATACAAATCACAAATAACATATACAAAAAGTGTCCCACACCCGGCAAAAGGAACCGGCTCAGCTGATGCTGCGAGTGTTCCAGTGCAATGTGAACAGCTGCACAGCGCTGTTTTTCAGCCAGTCCCTCTCTTAGCAAAACAACCAAAATGCAGGGTACCACTGTAAATTATTATAATTCTATTTAATTTTAATTCAAAACGGTCCACCACTAATCCATCTATTAAACATTCTGACAGCTCTCACCTGTTAATGCATTGCAAGGCAGTTTACAATAAACGCGGTAAATACCATTCGACCTTTCCCTGACTCCCGATGACAATAAACTTTTACTGCTAGTAAAAATAATGCTCGTCCGACTAAATCGATATCCGTGTTGCGAATGAGCTGCCCCCTGTTGGCGTATCTATGAAATGTTTTGTATTATGTAACCAGTTTTTGACAATCGAGCTAAAGAAAGACTAGACCTAGACTATCTAGATACGCTTAATTGCTTTATCACAATTTTTACGCTAATATTTACTGCAGTTCTTCAATTTAGTACCTTAAAAATTTTGTTTTAAAAAAAAATCAGTTATTATTTTGTCTTCATCATCATCATCATATCAGCCGTTCTGTCCACCGATAAAGACAGGCCTTCATCTATGTACTGCGGGTATATAAGAAACGGTCCCGAACCACCTTCATCCACTAACTCCCTGCAATGCATTTAAGGTCGTTGCTCTATCCAGGCCTAGGGGAGAAGTCCTAAACTGCGTTTGCCTGTACGAGGTCGCCACTCAAGAACCGTTCTTCCACATCATATTTTGTTTCCTTTTTACTCGTATTAATTTTTTTTTTTTACACTTGTTTGAATATGTGTTTGGTTACTCAAACACATTTATACAGCTGAACATAATTTTTAATACTTAAGTAAACTACATCCAAATAACACAAAGTCTGGGGGCAAATGTATTGTTAGTAATGGGGTCTAAATGACCCTTTGCTAGTAATACGCCCTATAAGATCGACTACCACGCGGTCCTCCTGGAAACCATCGTGGTTAATTCTAGTGGAATTCGTCACGATGGGCTAGTTGACTTGCTTTCATTGTCACCTATCATCCCTCATTGGTACCCTGCCAACGTATACCGATAGCGCGAGCGGGGTTACTATTCCATTATCATTCATTAAAAAATAATAATAAAAGGCCTAATTTTTTTTTCGCACCATAAAAGGTGCAAAATACTAGAAAATAATACATTGTACATCCTATTTTATGTTATGTGAACCGTTAACTGTTCACTGCTGAACATAGGCCTCTCTCCTTAAATCATATAGATAGAGCATCGAGCCTCAAAAACGGGTCAACTTTTTGTCAGCTAATTAACTGATTCGTTTTTTTATTAGTATTCTATATATTTACGCATAAAATGTAATTTGACGTATTTTAATAATAAATAAAATGAGTGTTTTTGCATTAAAAAAATGCAAAATTTATAAGACTAAATAAATACAGAAGTTTTACAAGAATCACTCATAACTATTTATCACGCAAAATTGTATAAAAAAGTTTTTTTTTTAATTTTTTTTATACAACTTATAATGGCAAACAAGCTGACGGCCCACCTGATGGAAAGTTGTAACCGTCGCCTATGTACATGAGCAGTACCATGGACATAACAGAGTATACTGTTTCGCCCATGATACCCCCATGCGTTGCCATTCCTGAGGACTCAGGTGTTATTCCTCTGTACACTGTAAATTCACGCCATATTCCACCCTTCAAACCCAAACACAGCCATGCAAACACAACTGTTTTACAGTTGAAACACGAAAGGGGCAGAGGTACCCAAACAAACGACTTTTGTGCAAAGTCTCCTTTTGGTAAAAAAGTAATGAAAAAGTTGACCCATTTTTCTCGAAGCATTTCTATAGAGACACTCTATCTATATAACCTAAGTCTCTCCCATAAGGAGGGATTTTGCCAATAGTTGCCACGCTTTGCAATCGCAGTATTAGTGTTACTTTAGGAGGGACACTGCTGCCCATCCTATATTCTATATTTAAAAATAATAATTATTATTATATACCTATGGTATTATATACCTTATGGTATGTATATATATTATATATATTTATAATAATTAGTGTCGAGGCGTAAGAGGCGACTAAAGGAACGCAATTGTCGAGGGAAGGGTAGCAGCGTCCCTCTTAAAACATCACCAAAGCCTAACTATGGTTGCCAATCTGCCTGCCATGTGTGGCAACTACTGGGAAAACTTTTGGGCAAAGCTCATGTTCAGCAGTGGACAGTTAAAAAACTGATATAATAATAAAAAAAAAACACTACTTAAAAGTGCCTCCGTAATGTTATTATCTGTTTGCGCCGTCATACCTAACATTAAAACCTATTTTAATAAAAAAATCGGTAGCTTGATTTTGTTAGGGGATAAATAGATTTTCTTACTGAAACTTCGTTTAGAGCGGCGTTCCCTCGTTGACGACTGAATGTAACTCAATTTTATGTTATTATCGAGAAGTGCAACTTCGTTCGAACTTGTGAACCTGTAGGTTGTGACACTATATTTTTTAATGCACGAGAATGAATTAGTGACACCACCAACGTTATCAGTATAAACTAACGAGACACTAGTTGGGGATAATATAAAAGTATGAAATCAAACAGATCAGTTGCCTCTCCATTTTTACCTATTAAAAAATAATTTAAAAAAGTCAGAATATGTGTTCGTCCTAACCCAACATAAAAAGCTACCCCTTCCATTCCCGTGGGTATTGCAGAGGCGACTAAAGGACCTTAATAATCGAGGGATAGGCAGTCTCTTTTTAAAAGATACCCAAAAGCCTAACTGCGTTTGCCAACCAGCCTGCCAAGCGTGGCAACTCTAGCATAACCACCCTTATGAGAGAAGCCTATGTTCAGCGGTAAACAGTAAAGTATGATGAAGTCCAATATATCGCTGTAATGTAGAATTACTGTATTCGCCGGTTGCCGTAATGTAAGAGAGCCCCAGAACTCCTAGTTTCTGTTATATACAGTAGGTACCGTACTTAGGGAGAGGTCCAGTCGACGCTGAAGTCATGAAGGAGATGTCATAAAACCAATAATAATGTTAGAAAAAAGAACCTCAAAGACCTTTTATTTTTTCGTCCTGACGAGGGATACAGGACGATATTAAAAATCTTCCAAGATGGACCTCAATCAGCAAAATCCTAACGTTTTCCTCGTCAGGTGGGACGCCATCTATACTCGTAACTTGCTCAGTGTGTCGTGTAAAATAAAATCGACTTTCTTTCTTATATTTATTTGTTCATTCAACAGATATCTTTTTAGACGTCAACATACATATGAAAATATCAAGAACGATTTTCGTAAAATCGATCTTTTAGAACGTCAAATTTTTTCTTCATAAATCTGTTTAAAATTTCCAAATTGAATAAATTCAAAGGACTAGTATTTAATATGCTTTTCTGTAACAAACAGTGCCATTTACGGTCAAGTGGCGATAGATAGAACTAATTTTAGTTCCTAAATAACATTATAGAGGTAGTAGATTCATTGTTTGCTCATTATCTTTTAAATATCTTTCGATATTAAACCAACTATATATTCAATATTTTCATACTTAAAAACGGTAGCTAAGCTAGAATTGACAGCATTATAATTGTGGCTGATGACTCAACTACGGCGTTCTTAATCGATTGATTAAAGTTTAAACCGATGATAAAATTCTTTTTCACTATTTATTATAATCTTGCTATAATCAGCTAAAAACAATGAATTACATAGAAGGAATGATAAAATAAAAACTTTAAATCATATGGTTGCCTCCTTTCTTCTTATGCAAATATAATTAGTAAAAAGAGAATGAAAGATACACCATCAATTGCTTCTTTTATTAATTCATAGCAGGATAGTGTATAGAAAATGTTTGATATGTCAATTATTTGTCAATAACAAATTTTACGTTACTAGATTATATATTCGACACGGTTCATGTAGAACGTATACAAGCAGGTTGTATTTGAATTTGGTAGAGTTACACAGCCATATAACATTTTCTATACACTAAGCTGCTATGAATTGATAAAAGTAGCAACTGATAGTATATCTTTCGTCCTCTTTTTACTAATTATATTTGCATAAGAAGAAAGAAGGCAAACATATGATTTACAGATTTTATTTTATCATTCCTTCTATATAATTCCTTGTTCTTATCTTGTAACACAGTCTTTTCAAAACCTGCAGGCACCAATCTCTCACAAAATTGATCTCATATATTTAATTGCACCTCAATTTGTTACTTTTAACTACCTTTTGTAAAAAGAAAATAAACCATTCATTCATTCGTTCGTATTATATCGACTAAATTTACATAAAAATAAAATATATTTTATGATAAGGACGGAAGTAGAAATATTGGTGCCGGTGGTAAATAATACTACTAAATATAATTTTTAGATACCTCAGTAAAAGTATTCATTTTTTCTACAAAAAAAATCTTTTATAAATTGAAATTATTTATGTCATTCTTAAAATAACCTTGATTTTTCTGAAAAGTGACATCTAGAGAATAAGGTTTGTTTTTTTACTATAAAACTTGCTGAGACTCTAAAAACGTAAATAATTTATTTCATTTAATAAATTATATTATCCAGTATATTTTATTTATCTTGATTCATCTATTTTGTTCTATTCCAAGTCGATAATCGAACAACATTTTTATAAAAGTATTGTCTATGGATTGTCTCCTATGTCTATAATCATTGGCGTATTGCTTCTGGCCAAAGCGGATTGCGTCAAAGATTTTGGTTGCGGTCCATAGATTATTTAAAGATTATAAAGTAAAAATTACTAGTCTGTAGTAAAAATTAAGAGCCTTCACCACATTTCTTATGGCCTTGTATTTATAGTCTAATCTGTGCCCACATTCATAGTCGTTGTCAATCGAGTATTAACAAGTGATGACTACATAATACTTGTGCATTATTATTAATAGTTATTATTGTTCTCTATTTACTTGTTATTTATTATTAATTATTAACAAAAAATAACAAATGAAACCGTGTGCTGTTTTACGTTGTAAGGGGAAGGGAACTCATATATTTCCTCGTAACCATAAAATCCGTATATTATGGGAACGAGCAACCGGTCGAATGAATTTTAAAGCAGGAAAACACTCTAGAGTCTGTGCATCTCACTTCAAGCCAGAAGATTTTAATGGTACTGGATTTTAAGTTACCAATTTTGGCTTTAACAAAAATAAATGTAATATGTATTTAAGTAATGAAAGGATAATAAACCATTTTTGAAAAGAAATAAAAATATGTGATTAATAGGAAATTAATTTAGCACTGACTTCTTACCAACAAATATGGGTCCTAACTTATGACAGTTTTTAAAATATTAATATTCTTAGTGTATGGTGATCATTACTATATTATAATTGTGCAATTAGAATAGGCATTATAAAAAGGAAAAAATACAAAAGGACAATACTGTGTACCTCAATGTAATAATTATAAGAGTTTCAATTTTCACCACAGAGCAAGTAATCACTTGGTCTTTTACTAATAATAACCATAAAGAATAACCTTAACAAGCTGTTCTTAAATTGGACAAATATCAACCTTTCATATAGTATAACTGCCTATTCATTATAATATTTGATACGTATAAACGACCCCAAAGTATGTATATCAACAAATGAGAATAATAAGAATAAAAAATTTATTTATAGGTGCTTTAAGACTCAGACGACGATTAAAAAAATGTGCTGTTCCAAGTGTTAATCTACCTGTTATACAAAATGATGAACAACCAATTTTTGAAGAGACAAGCGTAAATTTTTGCACTGAACCAAAATCAATACCTAACTTTTCAGTTTCAATAAGGTAAGTACGTCTACTTTAACTACTAGTTTCCGCGAATTGTAAAATATGATTATTTTACATTTGATATATTCATTTACGAAAAATATGGTTCTTATACTCTAAAACAAAAGTTTAAATCATTGAATGTTTCTTTTATGCCCAGACATAAAGAGAATAACCTAAAAAGAATGCTAAAATAGAAATCTGTCATTCATGTCATTTATGCTAACTGACATTAATACTAATCTGTGAATTGAATTCTGTGCAATTTTAAGATAAAGCAAGCCTATACAACAACAAAAAAATATAATACTATGCAACCATTTCATTCTATTTTGAAATTTTTAACTATAAAGTACCTCGTTTTTTTATGATATATATCGATATTACTAATTTGAATACACATTAGAACTGGTTAATCTATTAGATTTATTTTTAATTCCTGTACCAATAGTATCCGTGTAACAACCGACATTTTAAAATTAACAACTGTTATTATTAAAAGTTCCATAACCTTCCATATATAAAAAAATATTACATATCAAAATAATACCTGGTTTAGTAATATACTAAAATTATTTATTACTTTTACTACACTTGCATATTTATTTATTTTATTACATTAATACTTCAAAGTGGTTCCGTAGATTTATTTTCCAGTTTCGTTAATACAAGTGAAGTGCATTGCCTATTTTACTTTGTGTAACTAGACAAGATTTGACAAAAGTTTCTATTATTTCAAGTTTTAACTCAATTATATTTTTCTATAAACATATTTCTCAACTTTTTATTATATTTTTTCAATTCTAATTATGTGATACTAATTTTTACTTATTTAATTAAAAAGCATGAATGCTTGTGACGTTAGCGGAGGGAATATCGCAATGAAAATTGAAGAAAGTTCTGAGTGCCGCGCTTGTCTCCAAGTATTTGGAGCTGGCTCTAGATTAATCAATTTATTTCAACCCTGGAATCCTAAATTAGAAAACATGGGAGAGACTATTGCCGAAGACTTATCAAAAATTGCAAATATACAGGTAGGTATTCAAGTGTTACATTATATACAAAATAAACATGTCTATTCTTTTTGTATTGGTATTATTGCATAGATAAGACTATAATGAAAGACTTATTAAAAATAGAGAACAAGTATTAATTATTTTAGCATGACTTACAAATAATAAAAGTGCACAAACTAAGTCCAATTCTACAATGTCCAACTTCTAACCTTAAAATATAATTGAGCAAAGATAAAATAAATTTTCCTATAGTAGTATATAATATAAAGAAAATAAATGCTTGATATGCACTCATATACTATATATATAAGGTAGAGTAACTGAATTAAACTTAGCGGCCTACAAATATAGTGTTTCAATATTATGTATTGGCTAAATTGTGCAACTGTCCATTGTATATATACAAAGGTAATCCAGCAGTCTTATTCACCCTGGAGAATGATACAATCTCTTAGATGGAGAAAATAATAACATTGTGTAACAATGTTATAATAATTATAAAAATAAATCTAATAAAAAAGACAAAAATGCCTACATTTTATATATTTATATAAAGCTTCATTGCCATCATGATGAATTTATAAAATAAAAATACACATTTAAGTACTTAAACAACTGAGCAGATTTCAATTACAATTTATACATAAATAAAACTTTTTTTCTTTTCATAGATAATGGAATACTTTCCAAATCAAATTGTTATTATTAATATTTTCTTACAGATATCAGAATTAGATACACATTCCACGGTAATATGTCAAATTTGTTTTGAAAGGCTCCGAGAGGCGTGTATATTTACAGCACTGGTACGAAATAGTGATTGCTTACTCAGGCAACGAGTATCATTAGATAGTAGTATGAATCAAATATGGCCAAAACCTATACAAGTAGAAAAAAATATTAATGGACAAATTTATGGGACAAATGTAGAAATCAAACAAGAAGTGCTGTCTGAAGATGAGCAGCCAGACACAAATGGATTAGATGAAAGTTATAGAGACTATCTTGATATAAAAATTGAGCCCGAAGAAATAATTGAAATGAGACCAACACAAACTATTGTAAATGGTAAGTGTGATTATGCAATTGCTATTATCGATAATCCTGTCTTCAAGAATTAAAATTAGTATATAAAAGTAACTAATAAGAGAGCATCTATGATATACAGGTGGCAATGAAAGAAAAAGGGATGTATAGAGAAATTATGTGAGGGAGTGCTACTTGATTATCTACACTAATAATAAATTATTTCTTTCTTTCTTTAATACTGAAATGAAAGCTTTGAAAATTGTATGATAAATCAAAGTGAAATAATATAATTAGACCTTCTCTAAATAAGTGTATTTAGAGAAGTAATAATAATTAATTAATTTTGTAGTATTAAATTTATAGTATTGTAAAGGTTTACAATACTAAAAAAAAAAAAAGGATTTTTTTATCTGTACTATTAGTATTTACTTATGGGGCACCAATAAGGGATGATAAGTGAGGATAATAACAAGTCAATAGGTCCATTGTGATTAATACATAAAAAAAATACCACAATGGTTACCAGGAGTACTGCATGGAAGTCAAACTACCAGAGTTTATTTCCAGTGGAGGGGACTAGTGAGTCCTACTACTAACAATCTTCTCCCCAAACTATGATATTATGTTCTGTTAGTTTGGTGTGTGGAACTTGAAAGTGTAATGTTTATTTAAATTTGTAATCAGAACTCAGGATTTAAATGTAGACAAAGGAAATTAGACTATTGAATGTAATGCTAAAAATTTACATACAATTATGGCATTTATTTATATTACTTTGTAAATGAATTAATTCTCTTATGATAAAGAAATTGTCTTCAGGAATTCTGGGTTGTTTCTATTTAATTAAACACATTCCCAACTTGTAGAATAATCCAATAAGAAGTCAAAATGTATTCCTACTCAAATATTACATATACAACTTATATTTTTATAAACTTACAGGATTAATACCTACAAGCAATAGTGTAGAACATTCTCGATTACTGAATGGAAATGCTAATGAAGATGAATACAGAGAAGGAGACAGTGTAAGTTAATTTTTTATTATTTAATCATTATATTATAAATTAAAAAAAAAAATTCTCAACCAATACGACATCATAACCTTCAAGAAAAGAGCCTATTCCTTTTTAAAAGGTCAGCAGCACACCTGCAATGTCTTTGGTGTTGTGGGTGATCATGGGCAGCAGTAGTCACTTACCATCATGTGAGCCGCATGCACATTTTCCCCCTGTAATTTAAAAAAAAATAATAATTTAATGAAGTAGCTGTGGTAAGAGTAACATTTATTACAATAGTAATAGTCAACTACCATTGTCTTCCCATTAGAGTTGACAGTGGTATCATCATCATCCGATTAAGAAATCTTAATAGTTTAAGGGATGAATAGAAACCACAGACAGCAACATCCCTCTTATCAACTCGTAAGCGGTCACCATCCCGTGTGCCAAAGCCGAACTTAAGCCTATGTTCAGCAGTGGACAGTTAATGGCTGAGATCATCGTTATGAATACACTGTTTTAATATCCCTCATTTCTCGATAGATATTTGTGATAACTAATAACAAATGTTTTTATTTTACAGCTTGAGACAACAATAAAAGAGGAACCTCCTAGTGACGATGAAGAACTAAACGTTGACTCTGTAGATCTACCATTAGAATGTATGCTATGTACAAAATCCTTTCACAGTTTATCTGGACTTAAGGTATTAACTATTTATTAAATGATCATGTGCAATTTGACAATTAATATTAATTTATATCTCTGGTCACATAGCGACCAAAATACAAAATGGACTTACATAAAAAATACCGAAGAAGCTAATGAGAATTACTAATATTATAAATGTAAAAGTGAGTTTGTTTGTGATCTTTATAGTGCCTTAACGGCTTAACCAATCACTATGAAATTTGGTATGAACGTACGATAGGGAATGAAGAAGGATATAGGCTTTTTTTGTCCTGGTTAATCAATATATCCCGGTCACGTGGACGATATTGCGGGTAAAAGCTGGTCTTTTTATAATATAGAGACGAGCATTGGTCCTAACTAATTCGTTTTTGTCAATAGGTACATGTCATTACCCAACATTCCTACAAGAGTGTGAAGAGGAAGTGTAGCAATAGCCCATCACCGAAAAAAATGGACAACAACAGGCACCACTGTACAATATGCCAGAGAAGTAAGTTTGTAATAATGTAAATTGAATTTTCTTTTCTGTGCTGAGCCTCTCATTTGGCCCGTTGTGCCTATGAGTCGTGGCTAGTACAGCCAGCCCAGCTCCGTCCAGAAGTACAGAAGCTTCCTGGGATCTTCACAGGCCTCATGGAGCGATTTCATTGTTCCGAGGATTTTTTAAACATTGAGGGGCCACAGCTTTACATTCCAGGATTACGTGAGCAGCCGTTTCTTCGGCGTCAAAACAGCCTCGACATAGAGAGCTGTCTGTGGTTCCTATTGTGTATAAATGTTTGTTTAATAAGCATTGGCCCGTTATTGTCTCTATAAGAAGAGTTTAGAATTAAGTTTATTATCTTAAAACCAACAATCCAAAACAAGCAACGACAGAATATATCGATAGATACGTTTTCGCTTTCCTATGCGTGTGAAAGAAAAATATCGGGCGTCTTGCTCTTTCTCAGGCGCGCGATAATGTAGTCGAATCTTCGATTGCCCCTATGACCCTTTCATTTACTTTGTACATATACCTACTACTTAAGTAAGGATTCTGTAAATCAAGTCACTGATGTGTTCAAAATTATTCTTCAGGAGAGAACTGACCATTTATTTATTTTTTATACAACTTAGAATGGCAAACAAACTGATGGTCCACCTGATGGAAAGTGGTAACCGTCGCCTATAGACATGAGCAGTACCATGGACATAACAGAGTATACTGTTTCTCCCATGATACCCCCCATGCGTTGCCATTCCTGAGGACTCAGATGTTATTATTATTAGGAGACACTTTATGTACTTTCAAACTAGTCTTTGCGTTGGCCACCAAACAATTCAGTAGGGAGCATCTATCCATCTATCCTTACAAACTCACATTTCATCATCATCTCATCAGCCCTTACCTCTGCTGAACCTAAGCCTCCCCCTTGAGCGGTATTGCCCGTAGTTGCCACGCCTGGTAACGGGTTTGGCAACCGCAGTTAGACTGTGGACATGTTTTAACAGGGATGCTGCTAAAACCCACCCTTCGCCCTCCCTTAATTACCTCTTACGACACCCACAGGAAATTTACACATTTATATAACATTAATTGAAGTAACATATTTTTTTTTAATACACAGATTTCCAGACTTCAACTGATCTCTTAGTGCACGAGACATGTCATAATAAACATGTATGTTATGGGTGTAATTCCAAGTTTGATGTTCCACTGAAAAAAAACACTTTCAATTACAAAACCAATTATTTTAATGAAACACAGAAAGAACTGTAATTTAAATTAGATTCCATCCCACAGAAATTTTATCAAGAACCAGTTAATGTTGAATATATATAAAGATATAATAAGGTAATTAAGATTATGAGAACAGCTTTATTACAAAACCAAATTTTACAAATTAAATGTAATTTGTTTTATCTTTTCAGTTAATTAAGGTTGTTAATATATATAAACACAATAAAGGTAATTAAGATTATGTTCCACTGAAAAAAAACCAACTTCATTTATTACAAAACCAGTTATTTTAATTTAAATTTAATTGATTTAATTTAAATTACATTCATCCCATAGAAATTTTATCAAATTTAATTTAGTAGTAAAATTTTTAGATCAAAATTGATCTTGACACAATTGAAATCAAGTTCTTTTTAAAGAACACAATCTTAAATGTTTAAGAATACTTCAGTCTATGTTACTCGCTGATAATAGTATATGAATAGTATAAAGCATGTGTGTGCGTGCGTGCCTGCGTGTGTGTGTGTGTGTGTGTGTGTGTGAGCTGTCTATAGGTGAAAATTAAATAAAAATCCGTTTAGTACTTTTTGAGTTTATCCATTACAAAGAAACAAAAAAGTTAACCTGTTCTCTTTTCTCATAATAAATATATTACAGGTCTAAAAATAGAAAATCTGAAGACAATGAAGAAGAAGAAGAGGAGCATACAAACTCGTTGCAATGTAAACTTTGCAACGAAACCTTCACGGATGATTACTACATGAACATACACCAAGAAATACACCATTCAGCCACAAGTCAGTGGACAGCGCCAGTTGACACACCCACAAGCATGGAGAGTGAAGTCCTGAATACTAGTATTACTGAACACAATTAGTGATCAGCAGGACCGTAGCTAAGGGTGGGGGGGCATTAAGAGGGAAAGATATACCTTAAAAGGCTCTAAGAAATATATGGCTTCTGCCCTACCTTAAACTTGGGTCTCGTTACGGCCCCTGGTGTTCAGTAAAGTTCGTTTTGATTCGACTTATGCTTAAATGACGCGTGTAAAGTAAACCTTATTACATTCTCCTAAAGTTTACTTTAATCAAATCATATATGAAGCACTCATACATACCAAAATTGTACTCGAAAATCATATAGCCCACCGCTAAGTTATTTATGAAGAATAATTATATTCCAGACACCATCTGGCCTTTTACCAAAGGGAGACTTTGTACAAAAGTCGATTGTTCGGGTACCTCTGTCCCATTCGTGTTTCTACCGTGAAGCAGTTGTGTTTGCATGGCTGTGTTTCGGTTTGAAGGATGGAATATGGCGTGAATTTACAGGGTACAGAGGAATAACACCTGAGTCCTCAGGAATGGCAACGCATGGGAAGTATCATGGGCGAAACAGTACACTCTGTTATGTCCATGGTACTGCTCATGTCTATAGGTTGTTACCACTTTCCATCAGGTGGGCCGTCAGCTTGTTTGCCATTCTAAGTTGTATAAAACAAAAATGTAAATTCCGTTGCAATGAGGGAGTACAAATTATTTCTATATATGTATTTAAACCTATAACGAATAAAAACACCAACGCTTTGTACCGATGCAGCAAAAGAATAATGGCTTTCGTGCGTTATGTTACCAGCCTTTGATTGTCCATTACTAAACATAACCCTCTCCCTTGGTGGGTTTTGCAAGTAGTTACCACGCTTGGCAGGCGGATTGGCAACCGCAGTTAGGCTTTGGAGATGTTTTACGAGGGATGCTACTGCCCATCCCTCGTCCTCCTTTACCCGTCTCTGACAACACCCATGGGAAAGGAATGGGTGGCCTATTCTATACCGAGACCACTCGGCATCGTGCGTCATACTGTATTGTAATTATTTATGGCGGCTCACGTTTTAAATTCGGAGAAGTATCGAACTCAATAGAAGCCCTTATTCATGAGCGCGATTCACATGTGTGTCACGAACAGCATCACGCAACCAGCGTGCTGTTTGTCGAACTGCGCGCGTGCAGTCGACGGAGGCGGTAGTGGTGGATGTGGCCAATAGACTTACCAAACGTAATATACCCAAAAGTATTTATGGATGGCTAAAGACCGCACGGCTTGACAATGACGAAAGTGACATCCTCATGTGGTCACGACTCCACTGAAGGTGACCTCGATAAAGAGATGAGAGAATATATTTAAATTCAAGTGATAGTAAGAAATGAAAGCATGTCAGTTAGCCCATTGTCACCAATTCCTCAAGAATTAACCACGATGGTTTCCAGGAGGAACCGCGTGAAGGTCGACCTGATAGGGTATATTGCAAACAATGGGATTATTAGACCCCATTACTAACAATCCCTTCCCCCCAACCTGATAGAGTATGTTGCTAGCAATAGGGACTTCCTTACCAACAATCACTTGTATTTGGCTTTGCCTACCCCAGAATTTGAGCAACCTTTCAGCTATACATAAAGATATGTTTGAAAGTTCAGGATCCGCCTTTTTGAGGAGGCCAGTTCTGGAATACCATTTCAGCCGTTAACTGTCCATTGCTGAACATAAACTTCCTTCTATTGGGGGGTTTTGCCAGTAGTTGCCATGCTTGGCAGGCAGTTTGGCAACCACAGTTAGACTTCGGTGATATTTTAAGAAGAACGTTGCTGCTCCCTCGACTATTAAGTTACCTTACTCGCTTGTTACGACACCCACGGAAAAAAGGAAGGGGTTATTCTATGCCGAAACCATACAGCAGCCCTGGAATATAGGCGGCGAATATTTTTGCCCGATGCGGCAAAATAACTAGTTTCAGCACTACCACTAGGGTTGCCATCTGTAAAATCAACAAAATCAAACAAGAAACTCGAAAAGACTAGGTCATTTATTTTAGTAAAATTTGTATAGCGATGATTGGCATTGGCGAGGTATTTGTTAAAGATATTGATCGATACTGAAGTGCCATTTCTCTGGACCTATCTCTAAATTAAATTAAATCTATTTGTTATAGCAGAAAGATCTTTAAGGCCCAATGGCGTACTGACGGGGGGGGGGGGGGCGGAAGGGTCAGCCCGCCCCGGGCCTCTGTCCCTGAGAAAGGATGGAAAAAATGTTGAAACCTCCAAACGCATACGTTTGTAGACTTCAACGTTTTCCTCATCCGTATCCATGTTCTATGTATGTTTATTTAGTCTAATTTAAATATCACTTGCAAGATTTTAACTAAATAAATAAAAAGGTTTCGACGTGGTACAATCCACCAGACCAGTCTAGTCGTGACCACGAAACGTCGGCAACAAAGAAGCAGGTATGTATGTACTATTTATCTGTGAATGCTTTTAAATCGCGTTAAGTCCCCATTGTGTATATAATGTAGTTCATAAGTAAATAATTCCGTGAAACTATAAAATTAAAATATTAAATTAAGAGATAGGTTTAGAGAAACGACTCCATAGGATCGTGCCCATTGTATCATAATATATGGTATATTGTCTGATATCAGTGATCTATGTAGTGTTTTCACTGATTCACATATAGCTTTAATTGAATTTATTTTATGCAATACTTTAAGATTTTTCTTTAGGGCTTAAAAACTTTTTATGATTTTTTTTTTTTTTTTTACATTGGAAATAATTACAATTGGCTGGTATATTCATATGAAAATTTTAAATGAATTATAAAAATGAGACACCATTGGTAAAAAATTTAACACGAAGACGTTTAAAATTATCATTTTCATGTTTCATAAAAGAACTGTTTTTAATTTGCTTAATCGTCAGTTTTCATATAAATTCGTTATGTTAAATTATATTTGCTGATATGTCAACCGACCGATTTTGAGAAAAACTGTTAATCGATGATGATACTAATTATAGATAGATAGATAGATATATCGTTTATTTGTTTGTTACTAATCACACACAACATGTACATAATTCTGAAACACGCAAGTGGTAATTTTAAACCTACAAAAACTGCAGAGTTCACCAAGAAAATTTAATTCTATACTCTCAACAGCTGTTTTAGACGCCCAGTAGCTCAATTCACATTTTTTTTTACTTCATCTCAAAACAGAAAATGGTAATCGTTTTCTTCTTTACTTCAATTTTTTTAATTCTTTTTTTTTTTATAAGAATCGAGCTTGTGAAAGAACATGTCTATTGTTTTACTACTCTAATAAATACTCTGCACGTCGTGTTACGGCGAAAACGGAGTGTAAAGGATCAACCCTTTGGTATCTCCCCAATTCGATCGTCTCTAAAAATTACACTATGTAATTCTTTTACACTAAAAACCAGCGATATGTGTCGGTCATCATCCGCGCCGTGCCACGACGTGCACACTGTAGGTGTCTCATTGAATTTGATTTACTATTTATTATTATTTACTGTTAAAATTGCAATTCATAATAGTTTTGTATATTTCCATTGTCTCGCCGCTATATGTAAATACTGTTTTAGATTGTGATTCATGTATGTGTAAAATATATTGTTGCGTTTTGTGCAACCGAACATTTTGTATTTTTCTTTTTTAATTAAATACCAATATCCTTCTTATACTTAAAAACTAAACCCCCCCTACGAACTAATTTAAGCTATTTGTTTTGTCTTTCTCTTTGCGATATATTCTCAGTTTGAATGAAAATAACAAAACAGTGTAATAATGAGAGCAGAGCAATTGTTAGTAATGTGAAGCCAGTCCCATTGCTAGCAATATACCCTGTCAGGACGACCTCTACGCGGTCCCTCCTGGAAACTATCGTGCTTACTTCCAAGTGAATTCAGCAAGGGGTTTGGGAAGATAGGAATTGTTAGTAATGGAGACTAAGAATTCCATTTCTAGCAATATACCTAATCAGGTCGACCTCCACGCAGTTCTTTCTGGAAAGTATCATGGTTAATTCCTGATGAATTCATCATGATTGGCTAACTGACCTGTTTTCATTTTCATCGATCACCCTTCACTGGTGCCCCGCCAGCGTATGCCGTTAGCGCAGGCGGGGTTACCATACCATTTTCACGTATAAAAAAAGCACATGGGCTAACTGACCTGACACCGTAAGCACACAGGCATGGTTATTATTCCATTTTCACCCATTAAAAAAACTATAATAGTTGAAGTAGGTTTATAGAGGGCCAAAGCCAAAGTTAATAATACGCCTGCAACATTTACGCCGCCAAAACTCAGGTTTGCCGATACTTACACTAGAAGAAATGAACCGACCCGCCTAATAAACAGAGGCAATACGACGTTCCCCGAGTCAGCTAGTACTAAAATAAATTTTAAATTCAAATACAAAATTAAAAGACAAATTCCAACATTACTTTTATTTAATATTTTTCACAAGTGGTTTGTGTTTCTAGACTTTCAAAAACATTTAATTATTTCTCTTACATAAGTGATAATCGTATTTAATATATAATCTATTAGAATTACATATACTTTTTCTTTGTTAAAATCGTCCATAAGGTAGGTTCGAACTAGTGTAGCAAACAATGGTAAACTTTCGTCTTTACATAATTTTTTCCTATACAATAAATGCGTTTTATATTTTTTTATATACATACATACTTACATGCAAGCTAATTATCCAGTTTCGATATAAAAAAGAAAATTGAAAAGTATCGAGGAGTTTCGACAATATTACAAATATAGGTAAAAATTATCAAACTTGCCGGAACTTCATGTTTTAGTTTCTTTTGTAAATATTTTAAATTATCACAATCTAAATATCTTTGGAAGAGTCATTAGGGTTAAATAGCACAATTCAGGCGAAATTTTGTCTTTTTTTTAAATAGTCACTTCAAAGTTATCTGCCATATTCTTGTAAAGATATTTGTTAAGGACGCCAAATAAATATTTTAAAACAGAATAATGTTTTACATCTCCATAATAGACTTTTTAACCAGAAATAGGGTTGCCATCTGTAAAATCTCAAATCAGGACAAAAAGATTGGGATTTCAAGTCGAACATTCGAAGCCGATTTAAATTACAAGATAATTATGATCTGCTTCTATTCGAACGAAGTCAACCAATATATCTCAATAGAAGGAAATTGGGACGGATGGCAGCCCTAACCAAAGTCAGAAACTTTATGAATTGTGTTTAAGAAATATGTCCACATAGCTTTTTTTCACAGCCTTATCATTCTTGTCTTTTATCAAAATAATACACATTATAAATATTGTTATTTTATTTACAAACAACGGGATCTATTTTGAGACACCATCTGTCTAAACTTTCTTTTTTTCTTAAATAAAAATTTCAATTTGATTTTTATAGGTTAGGACCAATATGAACAAAATTTCTAATAGATTCGAAACAAAATTATTATAAAATTTAGTCCTTAAAACAGTAATTTCTCGAAACTATCAAATTAAAATATAAAATTAAGAGTAGTTTAGAGAAATGGTGAATCAGAATCGAGTCCAAACAGCACCAAAATCAATTAAGGCTGGTGTCAAAGTGAATGAAATAAATAGATATGCATCACTAAGCACACAAATAATAGATAAAATAGAGAAAAAAAATATTAAAAAAATAATAAAAGACAAAGGAAGTATTTTTTTTTTCGTGTGTGCCACAGAAACACAATAATTTAAAAGATCGCATGGGACGGTATTAAAACTGTATTAGTTTTCTCTAGCGCAATTTGAGAAACATACTATTAAATACTGGATCAGTTGAACCTGTGAACTCCACCCTATAAAAATTCAAACATGTGTGCGTATATTAATGACACCAATCATTCAACTTGATGTATTTGAAAATCGGATTACAGTGCATGGAAAACATTTTAAAATGTTGCCAACTAAAATATTTATCTGAGGTATTAAAATAATACTATTATATTTTTTATTTATATATATATTTCTCTGATACTTTTTATCTGCAGTCAACGACCGATCGAATCACTTTGAAACCAACCTTAATTTTAAAACACTCAAATGTCCATTTGAGAATTGTAAAACTTTCTTACCGTGAAACCAAGGAATGAATTAAGAAAAATACTGATAACGCTCAATAATTTGCTAGTATATACTTTAAATATTACAAATTCATAAGTAGATCTTTAAGTAAATTAATTTTGCAAAGTGTATATTTAAAATATGTTAAACCGCGTTTCCATACTCGTTTCACACCTCTCGTGATAAAAATTCATAAAAATCAAAACCTACCTACAAACCTATTTTAACTATTAGAATATTTTGTCACATTCTTTCAAATTGAGAAGTTAGCACAAAAGAAAGGGACGAACATTTCAATAGCTGAAATAGATTTCATTTAAGCTTAGCTCTCACACGAGTGGAAACAGGTTGTAAAAAATTATACAATAATAATTATGTCAAATATATTAAAATATGAAAACAAGTGCGTGTGTTTACTAACAATTTTTCTTGCATGAACTTATTTGTAACACGGTGTAGCAGACAATGCAAGAATTAAATCTAAGTTGCCTAATTTCTGTTGAGTTCGTTCAGAAGTCGCAGAATGTACAGGAACAGATTAAGGATATCCATGTACAAATTGATAGTAGCCAGGATGTACTCCTCGGCGGAGAGTGTGGTCATCATCTGCTGGGTGTCAAAGATAAGGAACAAGCTGAACAGGACAACTCCTACGAAGGAAAGTGCCACCTCGAAAGCTGAGCTCTGGAGGAAGATTTGGATTAGACCGCCGATGATCAGCACGCAGAGGCCGGCCACGAGACTACGATAAAATATAAAAAGTTTATCAAACAGAGCAAAGAATTTTTAAAATAAGCACGTGGTAAATGGTTGCAAGGCCCACTGGCCGCCAAAATAGCAAAATTTGTCACTATACTTCTAAGTTGTAACGTAGTTATTTATTACTAGCTGTATCCCGCGGCTTTACCATAGTGAATAAGTACGTGTTCTATGTGATATAATCTACCTTTTTTTTTACCTGAACTGGTTTGTCACGCCATTGTATAACTTAGAATGGCAAACAAGCTGACGGCCCACCTGATGGAAAGTGGTAACCATCGCCTATAGACATGAGCAGTATCATGGACATAACACAGTTTACTGTTCCGCCCATGATACCCCCATGCGTTGCCATTCCTGAGGACCCAGGTGTTATTCCTCTGTACCCTGTAAATTCACGGCATATCCCACCCTTCAAATCGAAACACAGCCATACAAACACAACTGCATCACGGCAGAATTTGTTTGCCAAGTTACGTTCAAATCCATTCAGTAGTTTTTACGTGAACAAATATTTGTCCATCTTTACCAACTTTTGCATTTGTAGTATTAACAGGAATGCAAAAAAGCTAATTCAAGCTCGAATTAAGTGATGAACCTCCCTTTAGGAAATAAATTTTCTCAAAATTACTGCTTCATTTTCTTATTAAAAACTGATAAACTTCATATGGTTTATTTGTATTTATTATATATTGATTTTATTAATTCTAGTAATTGAGTCCCACAGTGTCGAGATCAAGCAAGACCTATTTTTTATCACAACTGTTTCTCTAAGTTTCGCCTGTGGGAAAACCAGTATATCTTTATTACTTAGAGAACATATAAAAATAGATGAATTTTATTCAACTTACCCATATCCCACGAAAGAGAAGTCCCTCTTGGTGTTGAGTGTGTACAGAGTGAGGGCGGAGACGACGGTAAACGTGAGGCCGAGCGCTTGTAACACGACCACAGTGTTGTAGAAAGAGACCACCACACCCACTGTATACGCTTGCACTATTGTCTGTAACATAAGTTATATCATACTAGTATTTACCCATGACTTCCTCTACATGATCAGAATATGTTCATTGACCGGGACAAAAAGTAACTTATGTCCTTCTCCACCCCAAATAGTATATGTAAAACAAATTTCAATGTTTGTTTTCATGATTTGTTAAGTTGTAAAGGAAGTGACGAACAATCAAAGTCACTTTCATATTTAACTCATTTTCTGTATACTTGTTTGCTGCTTATGTGGTATAAAAAAAAATTAAATTAAATAAATATAAATAATTGTGATTGATTTTATTAAATAAAAAATATTATTAAATTAATAATTTGTTTACCATAGACAATTTGTATACAATGTCGTCTGTAAGTATCCAAATTAGGAAATTTAAAATTAAACTCGTATCTAGTTTGATTACATGCTAGGTTTAGGTTTAAATTGAGAATGAATATAGCAATGGAGTGAGCGAATGACTTCACCATTCATCCATCATCACACACATCAAGCATCTGTGATATTAATGCCATAATGTTCATAACATGTGATGATTGCTTATCATCAACGGACAGCATGCTTCGTGAAAAATTATGATAATTTGATGAAGAAAATTTACTTACAAATGCTGCTAGCAGGTACAAATTGGCAGGGGTGTCCCTTCTTTTTACGATCAGCGTTAACAACGTGACCATGCTCATGATGAAAGCAATGAACACCAGCCAGTCACTGTAAATTAAAACATTGAGTAAATGGAATATTCTTAGAATTTCCATAAATACTATTAGTTAGAAAAAAAATATGGTAATCCAAAGAAAATCTTTTAAGAAACTGTAGTTAATGTATTTATAATAGTTATGTTCCTTTTGTGAGCAGAGACTTGTAGTAATTATAAAACAGCAGTGATCATCGAATGATATCAGATAATAATAATGATTTCATCAAACAATAATTATAATTTAATCAGACAATGATCATCATTTGATGAAACATTCGTGTTTCAACCGTGAAGTAGTTGTGTTTGCATAGCTGTTTCGGTTTGAAGGGTGGGATATGGTGTGAATTTACTGGGTACAGAGGAATAACACCTGAGTTCTCAGGAATGGCAACGCATGGGGTATCATGGGCAGAACAGTATACTCTGTTATGTCCATGGTACTGCTCATGTCTATAGCCGACGGTTGCCACTTTCCATCAGGTGGGCCGTCAGCTTGTTTGCCATTCTAAGTTGTATAAAAAAAAAGACAATGATTATTAATAAATCAGACAGTGATCCTTAAATGATCAGATGTGTACAGACATGTATACTTCTCATAGTATTTCAGCTTGTTCCCCAATTTAACTACCTATCATAAAAATTTCTCATTCAAAATCTACTCATAAACTGTACTGGTTAAGACACATCATGATTAAGCATTTCTTAAAGATTATGCAGATAGTTCATTTAAATGGAATATGTTCAAAATAAAAACATTAAACAGTGAAAATTATTCAGTTTGCTCGCAATATTAATTTATAATAATATTATAATAAAGTCTAAATTAAAGTTTTATATTATTAGAGACAGTGGATCACTGTAACACATACAATCTGTGTCCCATAGTAAATTAAACAGATGAGTACCTCACTTTATCTTAAAAAGATTAATGTTGTAATTTCATTTTTATATAAGTAAATATACATATTTATTAATACTAAAATTAATTTCTTTTATCGTTTTCAAGTACCTTTCAAATACCTTATTGAAATCTTTATTATTATTTAGGTAGTAATTTATTGTTATTCCTATATGTTCTTGAGTTAATACTCTAATTCTTAAGTTGATTAAATGCATTTTTTTTACATAAATAAGCTATAAATATAAGATTCCCTATGCACCCTGTCACTTGGACCAGGGAACCCCTCACAAGCTGATGACCCGAGACATTTTGCCTGCTCTGCTACCATATAGTTATACCACTGATTAGAGACTAACAAACTTACTTTTTGTGAATGAATGCTTGGACAGGCTCCACAAGAGTGAATGTAGCAGCAATTGCAAATGTAGCCAGCAGTTGTACACTGAGCAGTCCATACACCTTCCGGATGAACCCTAGACGGATCTCCTTGTCCGCATTCATCACGTTATTGCGGTATGAAAAGTCATCCTGTAATTTTTAATTTTTTCTCTTATAATATCCTTTTTTCTTTTATCTTTTTGCAGAATGTAATGCATAATATGATGATAGCTGTAAACCACTGTTTAAATAAAAATATTCTACCATTTCCGAACATGCCCATTAGAAATTGTTTTAGTTAACTCTCGCCTAGAACATTGGAAAAAGAGTAGTGAGGCAAACTAGACTAAATCTCATGAACAAATTACACCAACCTTGATACCACAAAGTTATACTCTTACTTTTCATAAAAAATATGAAAGTATTAAGTGGAAACTCTTTCAAATCATGTTCGACAAAATGGTTTTTAAAAAAATTTTTATATACTGTAAAAAATACATAAAATTAATCCAAATATATTCATTGGTTGAATTATATTTTTTTTATTTAATTTTATTATTAAAATCTTTTGTAATACAGTATTTAGTTAATAAATTATTTGATTTTGTTTTCTTTTTTTATGTACTGGCATAACACATTTACTCTACAGCCAACTAATTATAAAGTTTATCTATGTAGTCCACGGATCTAACTTAAAATTGCAAGAAGGAGGAAATAATATAAGAAATTTAGGTTGATCTCTACTTAGTACCCCCTAGAAACCATAATGGTTAATGCCAGGTGAATTTATAGTCATGTATCTATCATTCTTCACTAGGGCATAACCAATGATAACTAAAACGTATGTGGTGCTACTTACTATTTTTTCTTTTTTAAAATATTTAGTAAACCTTTTTGGCTTATCTTTTATCTATATACAATACACAATTTATTCTTTCATAGATATCTTTATTGATTATAGATTTATATAGTACCACTTTTATACCAATATTAGTATTAAGGTTTTGAGGGTCTACCTTGAAATGAAATTCCCAATTTTCGAACTTAATGTTTTTGATTATACTGAAATTGGTCCAATAAATAGAGCTTAATGTTTTGTTCATCATAAATGTAATTGAAAAGTCCAAAAGAATCATGTTTTACCCTTTTTTATATTTTTAAACGGTAAATATTATGTAATTTTAACATTAAATTTAAGTCCAGAAATTTCGGAAAATATTACGTAGTAAACCCTCTGTTATACAAGTTTATTATTCCAAATAAATAAATAACATTATTAATAAAAAGGATTTTGTTCAGTTGATTATGTATATTATTATGTATTAGGTAGATATTATTATAGAACTAATCATCTTATTTTTAAATGACCAAATTCAATTAAAGAGCTTGTCAATAACTAAGTTATAGGGAAAGACAATATTAATGATTTCTCTCTTCAATAAGAGAATAAAATCATAAAAGTATATACTTTACAAAACCTAAAATAAGTATAAGGAAAATGATAAAATTATAATCTCAAACGTAGAAATCTTATCAAACATAAGTATATGCAAACAATTGTTTTCTTTTATATAAATATACCGACTGACAAACAAATTACTCTGAATGGAGATAGAACTGATTGTTTACTTATTCAAAAACCCCCCCAAGGACGGAGCATGACTAGAGATGGGCAATCCACCTGGGTGGGTTTAAAGTCTGGTGGGTAAAAACCGGGTGTTTTGGGTTTATTGGGTTTAAACCCCATAAACACCCAAATTTTTGGGTGTTTATGATTTTGTACTTCATCATCGTCATCTCAGCCGCAAGACGTCCACTATACTGGACATAGACAATATTATTATGCAGCCTACAGAATAAAAAACTTTTAATTTGATTTTGAGTTTATTAAGAAAGAGATGAAAGTAAAATGTAAAACTACAGTCAATCACTGTCAGATTCAGAGTTATTACAAGCGATGAATTGTATAGGTTCGATAGGCTCTATTTCGTCTAAACTGTTATGTTCATTTACTTGCTCAATGAAAGCTTCTAAGGTATTTTCTTCATTAAACTGAATGTCCTCGCATTCAGCTTTATGTTTAAGATTCCAGTTATAACAAATGAATGAAATTTTTTCAGTTCTTTCAGTTGTAAGTCGATTTCTTTTGTTATTATGTATGTAGCCTTGGATACTAAAGGAACGCTCAGTGGCTGCCGAAGTACAGGGAGCTGATAGAATACGAATCGCTACTTTGCTTAACTCAGTGGAACCACAAATACCTTTCCACCATATTAGGGGCTCAATGCTATCTAATGAGCTCCATACAAATCCTCTGGCCCAAAAGTTTTCTTTAGCTTTATAACACGCCAAATCTGCCATTACATTTGACAAACTTAAGTGTTGGCTTAAATTGTAGATAAACTCCATACCCTTAAGTTCTTCCTCTTGAGTAAGTTCGACTCCTAGAGTCCTGGGGTCTAGAATATATGCTGCAAAATGTATTGGCCTCATTGCCATATTGCATCTTGAAGATACTGATGTTAGAATCTGCTGTTTGCTTTCTTCGCTCAATGTCGAAATCTCATTTAATGCAAAACGTATATTAGCTTGTACATCTCTAAATGTAATGTATGTGCGATGCAAACGATTCTGGTCGCTCTCTAAGTAAAATATGCTTTCAGTGACTGGTTCCAAAATACTTATACATTCCCCTGTCTTCGTCCAGAAATCATCACTTAGAATTAAATCTTTAATATCTCTTGAAATTACCACATCTTCTCTAACTGTTAATATTTGCAAAGCTATCTTATTTGCTTTCAAACTTTTTAACGAAGTAACATGACTTCCCCATCTTGTAGCACAAGGCAATTTTAGTGTTTGTGTAGAATCTTCACCCTGCCTTGATTTTATCAACAAGGAACTTAATCGTTGACTCCTTTTAACAGTTTTTATTATATTTATGGCTTGCATAATAAACACAGTTACTTCTTGTATCTTTACAATATCTTGGCACAACAAGTTAAGGATATGTGCACAGCAACCGAGAGGAACAACATGTGGATATTTGAGTTTTGTTAATTCGAATGCCTTTTGTATATTTCTAGCGTTATCGCCAATAAGTACAAGAAACTTATTTGCTCCATACACTTTCATTACTTTTTCAACTTCTTGGCTAAGGTATTCACTAGTGTGAGGATTACTTTCTGTATTCAAACTTTTAACGTATGCAGGTTGAGGTTTTGATATAAAAAAGTTTATTATTCCTTCATTTCTTAAATTAGACCAGCCATCGCACTGAAGGTGTAAGTAACTACAAGCATTTAGTTCCTCATTTAACTCAAAACGCATTTCTCTATATATTTTATCTAAGTATTTTGTCGCTAAAGCTTTACGTGAAGGTATTTTAAATTTTGGTTGCAATTTTTCGAAAAATTGTATCCATAAAGGATGTTGCACCATCGATAATGGCGTCCCTGTTACAAATATAGCTCTCGCTAATTCTGTTTTTATATGATCATCGGTGTCTTGAAACTCAGCATTTATTGTAGTGTTAGCAGACGACGAGGGGCTTATAAAAGAATCATTTGTCTCTATCTCTGACAGTCCAGACATTTTGGTTTTGGACGAGCTATCTTTTATAAGTTTCATAGAGTCTTTTAATGTTTCTGGAGATTTTGGACAAGTGATAAGATGTTGAAGCATTTTGGCAGCATTACTGAATTTGTAGACCTTATTACAAAGCTTGCAAGAAACAGACTTGTTTGGTAAAGTACGGTAGTGCTCCCATATGCGTAAATCTTTAGGTCTCCCCATTGAACCTAAAAAAATGAACGATGATTAGTTGGTCTGACGAAAATTCAACAATAGAGTGCCTATTTTTTTACAATGATTATTTCTTGTTATTTACAATAAATTTATTAAAAAAATAATAAAATAAATACAAAAAACCTTTGTAAAATTACATCTCCTCGGAGGATTAAACGCAGACGCTAGTTTATTATCGTATTGTTCTGTATTTTTCTCAGCAACTTCTTTAATTCGATTAGGTACTTACGCATATTATGTTAAAAATAAATATCTAGTACACATCTTAGGCTATCCACCATTATTATCCAATGACGACTCTCAGCTAACTATGCACTATCATCCAAAATAAACGTGTATGGAAAATTTTATCCCAGTCGGTTGAGGATTGAGGATAATTGCATCAACATACGAACATACCTACATACTTTTATTTACATAACGCAAGCTAAATAAAAGCTTGTAATAATACATCTAATTTTAAGTTAAAATTGTTAAGTGATCATGATATAATTGTATCATTCAAAAATCCACTTACCTTTAATTATTTCTTGTTAAGTATAAATATTATTTCAAATCTGCTCCCTTAATATGCACTTTTTTACTGCTTTTCCTACCTAACACGTTACCAGGAAGTCACGTTACCAGAGTCAGAGTAATAGTGAACACGTTTGACAGTGATTGTCGTCGCCTCATATTCAGCGTCGACGAATAGGGGAATCCCCAGTCATAATGTATTGCATGCGTGGCGGTCTTACTTCAAATCCATAAACAAAGAGATAATTACAGAACTCGATACTAGATGGCGCTGTTTTTGTTTGAAGAAAGTTTGCGGGCTAAAATACATAGAATTTCATCAATGACTTCCACAAAGAACAACATTTCTGTTTTTTCTAAGTCCGTATCTCTTCCGTATATTTCATAAGATATAAGCTTGGGCTACATTGTTATGCAACGTGATTTTGTCGCTGTCTTGCTAGCAGGGTTGACAGATATACGATTTAAATCGTACTCATACTATTATTTGTCTATTTTTTAATGTACGATCGTAAAGATTATGATCGTAATTCGCACAAAAACATACGACTTTTTGGTTACCTGGCAACATTTTTATTATGAAACGAACATGCTCACATCATCAGTCACATGCAACAATTTATTGGGGATTTCCCCTTCACATCTGGCAGTCCTGCTTGCTAGAATATAGGTAAGTCAGCCACAGTTACTGACGATCGATATTTAAAGGGTATTGTTTTTGTGCTAAATATTTCATAAAAACGTTATTTAATACTTTGTGGATTATTAATTTAGTTGATAATCACTGGAAGTAAAATGGATGCTAATTTGAGAGATCAAGATCTTCGTATAAAACAGTTAATAAAAGAAAATCTACGTAAGTACTCTTTTTATACCTAGGTAGGTAAGGTATAATAAACACAAAAGGTACTTAGATCGCGTGTGTTCGAAGCATTTATTCTAATAAATTTAATTTAAAATTGTAGAAAGAAAAAAATGTCTGCCAAGCCGTAGCCGAAGCCGATCTCCAAATATATTTGGCGATAGTGAGACCCAGTGTCCAGATGATTTACCCAGCGTCGTCGCAACAAAGAAAAAAACGAGGATAAAGTAAAAGAAAATTTACTGAAAGAAGAAACAAACTGTTCTAAATGCTTAATTTATGGAGAAGAGGATAAAAGAAATGAGTATTTCGGACTGTTAGTGGCTCAAGAATTTAAATATATACGGCCATGTGTGCGAACGAGGTGTTATGAAGAAATTTTAAAGTATATACGGGAAGCAAAAGGCCAACATGTTGATCAACTGCAACATGAAAACACTGAAAATTAATTACTTTCATTTTATTATATATAGATTTTTAAAATTTCCTGAAATATTATTAGTTAACGTTTTATTTAATATTGTAGAATTGATCAATACAATTTATAAAAATAATTTATTGGTATTACTTACATATTTTCAAAAAAATACGTAAAAACCTATTTTTTTGGGTGATTATGGGAGTTTATGGGTGTTTATTGGGTTTTTACCAAAGCACCGGGTTTAAACCCGGTGCTTTGCCCATCTGTAAGCATGACGAATGACCATTCACCAACTCATGTGATACTTTAATAAGTTACTAAACAGATGTTACCTCAATTGTTTCCTTTCCACCGAGCTCACAGTCCTCTTGCGCGTACATTAATGGTATAGAAGCCATGTTCGGTTATTCAATTGTAACACGAAAATAAATATCTGTAGTTTTCCGTTTAAATACGTGTATTTTTATGAGGAATTGAATAGGATATCACAATTCACAATAAAAAATATCATAAACAAAAATAATTGTCAAAATTCACTCATAGACATAGCAACTACTATTTGACGTTGACATTAGACATTTTTAATATTTTTAATTTACCATTTTGGCGTTTAGATGTAAAAATTTTCTTTGAAATTTGAATGAAACAATTACCTATTTGATAGCATAACATGAATGTATTCTGTTTGCAAAATAAATTAGTGCAAAAAAGTAATAAATTGACTTGTTTGTTTATTTTAAAAAGGTCGCAAATATTATAATTTATTTATAAATAATAGACATATACGTCGTATCGTCTATTTAGTTTGTGGATATAGATTACGTATATCAAATATTCTATGGTCGGAATGTGTATAGCTGTTTGACAAGAATATTTGACATCTATCACTGTCATTATATATATTTACCTTGCTTTTAGCACATGTGTTTTATTTAGTTAACTATTACATTAGTGAAATTAAAAAAATATTTATTATCCTTTAATTTGTTATTATAATATAAACATGGAAGAAAACACACCCACAGTTAGCCTAGTTTCATGCATGCATTTTGTCAAACGTGGAGTGGCAAAAGAGGTTCCAGAAAAGGTAGTTCTCAAAATTAATAACATCGCACATTACAATTTATTTATTACCTATTTGTTATAGTTTTTGTTCTTTCTTACAGATTGAATTAACAGAGAAGGAATTAGAAAAAATAATTAAACAGACCGCTAATGAGTTACGGTAAGAGAAAAATGTTAATCTTAGACAATAGTCATTAATATTTCACTCTATATGCTTTTGTCTGTTAATATATTTCTATTAGGCTACCCACTGGTTATCGTACCCATTTTGTAGAAAAGTCTGATTCGTGAATGCTTCTGTCTCACTCATATTTTACTGATAAGTTGCTATGCTTGCGTGATTGCGTTTTGAGGTATAGTAATGAAATTACAGCATACAGGATACTATAGTCCTCAAGAACGACAACTCATGAGGGATACACTGAGTGTCACTATAGATGATTGTTACTATTTTCCATCAGATGGGCACTCAACTCTTGCTGAAAATAATTATTTCAATCTTAATTGTTACAATACAATAAAAAAAGCCTGTATCTAGACCCTCATTGAGTATAAAAAATTAATTGTCTTAATTTATTCTATAAAAAATTGTATATTATTGAATAAGATTGACAGAACAAGGTGATGATGTGAGTGATGAAGAAGGTGAAGCCAGTAGTAGTGCTGCCCCTGATCCTCCAGCCGACCCGGATGATAAATTCAACTTTGCCAACTATGATGAGGAAGACCTAAGTATGATTTTTGCAATTTATTATTTTAATTTTTAACATTATCTTTTTGTTAGTCTTACACTTAATAACAATACAGAAGAATTAAAGAAGCCAATTGTATAAATATAATCTCATAAACATTTTGTTAATTAGATAATAATGAATAAATAATGATGTAAAAAATAAAAAAATCATATAATTATTATTTTTTTTAAATGGATGATAATGGAATGGTAACCCCACCCGCGCTATCGGTATACACCGGAGAGGCACCAGTGAAGGATGATAGGTGAGCATGAAGTAGGTCAGTTAGCCCATCGTGACGAATTCAACAAGAATTGTTCACAATGGTTTCCAGGGGGAACCATGTGGAGGTCGACCTAATAAGGTATATTGCAAGCAATGGGGCTGTCAAACTCCAATGCTAACACTCCTTTTTCCCCCCTATAATTATTATTTATGATTGACAATTGCAATAGGTATACTTGTAAATATACTAATTCCAATATAACATTATTCATTATATTATGAATATATATAAATGTATTAAACTTAAAATATCGAAAGTAATTAAACATTATTATACTCTCTTCTACAGGTAATCCTATAGGTATTGGAACAGTTGCAACACTGCCAAACTTAGGGGATCTTGGAGAAAATGTTCAAATTCGGGTAAATGAAAACATTATGCTTCTATATGTAAACACTAGTTTTTACCTGTGACTGGGATATGTTGTTTTAATACAGTAAATTTAATTACAATATGTCCATTGAGGCACTAAGAGGTAACAAACAAACTTACTATTATATTTATATTATTAGCAAGATTTATCTATAACAACCTCGTTAGTAACAAATTATGAGTGCAATTTAAATACTATAACCATTAACAAAATTTTTAAATAAGTCACTTTTGATATACCTTTTTTGTCTCAAAAAAAAAAAACAGTTTTAATATAGAATACATATTATATAGATAGTACCTACATGCAAATTCTGGTTTTTTTTTTCTTTGTCACTAATTAATTAATATATCTCTATTGAAACCAATAAAAAAAATGTGAGGCAAAAATAATTATAGCTTTATGATTTTTTGTTGCATTGTAATGTAATAAAGACTCTGTTTTCCGCACTTAGCCTCTTATTTGGGCCGTTGTGCGTCAAGTTTTTGTTGCATTATTTTATTACATTCTAATAGATGGCAATTAATTTTCCTAATTGAAGTAAAATATAAATTTTTGAAATGGCAATTAATGTAATTGTTTATGTAAAATATTTTCATTCACCTAGGGCTGTCTGTATGTTTTAATCCATGCCTGCAGTTCTACCATGGTTATGATGGCTGATGTATAACTATGTACCATATTAATACCCATCTTTTGAAAATTAAAAATAATAATAATAATTTAACTTTTCAGATTATTAATTTGATGATCTTGTTTGTTCATTCAATAAAAATACATGGGAAGATTGTTTACTAAATAATTAAAAAAAATTCAATGTCTACTTTATATTTACAGACAGAAGGACCAGACAGTGATGAAGAGGATGATATAATTAAACCAAGCGACAATCTGCTGCTTGTCGGTCATGTGGAGAGTGATGCTAGTGTATTAGAAGTTTACGGTAAGTTTTACTTACTTTGATTTTTTTTCTTTTCAACAATGTTTTTTTTCACATTGAGGACATAGAGTCCTCTACCCAAAGGTTGTCTGGAAGAGATTGCTTAGCGAAAAAGACACCTTTTGTATCACTTCTCATTAACATTTACTGTATTTGTTATTTTTCTTTTTACTTGGTGCAATAAAGTGTAAAATAAATAAATAAATGCACATGCAGGGTAACAATAAAATAGTTACCCTGCATGTGCTAACAGTATACACTAGTGAGGTACTAATGAAGGTTGATCAGTGACCATTAAATTAAGTTCACTTTGCAAAAGACATCAAAAAACAAATGAAAATATCTATGAAATAGGTGGATTAATATACTAAATATTCATAATTATTATATTTATGTCACTTTTTAAATAATCTAATAATTCTTTGTATTTTTTTAGTTTTCAACAAGGAGGAGGGTTCATTCTATGTGCACCACGATATTATCCTCCCATGGTTTCCACTGTGTGTTGAGTGGCTGAGTCATGATCCTTCAGATCCCAATCCAGGTAATTGCTATAAAAAAAAATTAGCATTATGTATACATCATGTATTTACATAAAAAAAGGGTCAGCAATGTGCATGTGACTTCCCTAGTGTTACAGGTGGCAGGCTACAGTAATTGTTTACCATTAAATGGACTGTATGCTTCTTTGCCTTTGTAGTATAAACCTCTGTGCTATAGAAGAAATTATAATTAATCCAAAATTAGTTCAAAATGAAGTTTATTTGAATAAAGATTAAACAATTTAGATAATAATAATGTATTTTTTTTTAATAAATAATACAATTATAATAAGTAATATCAATCTATCCCATGCATAATAGTGCTGTGCAGCGTGGCTGTACTTTAGTTTGAAGAGTGGGATGTAGTAGTGAAATTCCAGGGTACAGAAATGCAACACCATACTTCTCATGAATCACAGTGTATTCTATGGTACTGTTAATGTTAATTGTCCATAGTTACCATTTTCCAAGAACTAAGCCGTCAACTTGTTAGCCACTGTAAATGTCATAAAATTAAAATCATTAATTTGAATTAACCTTGCAGGCAATCTCTGTGCGCTGGGTGGTATGGACCCAGTTATCCAAGTATGGGACCTGGACATAGAGAATTGTCTTGAACCAGCCTTCAAACTTGGCAGGAAGCCCAATAAAAAGAAAAAAACAAAGAGGGTTGGCCACAAAGATGCAGTCTTGGATATGTCATGGAACAGCAATTTCACGTAAGTTTCAGTTGATTTATATATATTTATTTATTTATACATATATATACTTTATAATATGCATCAGCCACAAGCTTCTATTAATTTATTTAATGATCTCCAATTTAATGATCTGTTGTATTTGGTTTTTTTTTGGAAGCAGGGGGTATTTGGACAAGAATTGCTAGTAATAGAGACCATTGGAGACAGTTGGAGGAGGCCTTTGCTAATAAGCAAACAGACAACAGCAATTAAATAATAAGTTGTTAATACGTTGTTTTTAAAAAAAAATGTCTGAATAAAGGCTTATATTATATTATTATTATTATGTATTTGGTTGAGTAGTTTTTTAATTCATCTATGACAAAAAAAATAAGCAAATCTTTTGTTTTTTTTATACAACTTAGAATGGCAAACAAGCTGACGGTCCACCTGATGAAAGTGGTAACCGTCGCCTATAGACATGAGCAGTACCATGAACATAACAGAGTATACTGTTTCATCCATGATACCACCCATGCATTGCATTCAGGAATGCCTGAGGACTCAGGTGTTATTCCTCTGTATCTAGTAAATTCACGCCATTTTGTCTTTCTAATATTTGTTTAAATAATTAGAGATTTTTTGCTAAGTGTTGCTTTTTGACAACATTTGATTTACCACATTTTTTTACACAGGTCAGTTGGCCCTGATCTGCCTTCATCCTCGCCTATTGTCTTTCACTAGTGCTCCGCCATCATATACTGATAGCGTAGGCGGAGTTACCATTTCATTATCATCCATTAAAAAAAACTGCTCAATGGCAAAAAAATGACTGGTACTAAGGAACCTCAGACAACTTTGTACATGATCTTCCTATGGTAAATATCAAATAAAAATTTTGATTGTTTGCAGACATGTATTAGCCAGTGGATCAGCAGACAACACAGTGTTATTATGGGATCTAGATCAAGGCACGCCACACACAAAATTTGATGAGTTTGAAGATAAGGTTGGTATATCTTTATCTGTATCGTACACTACCTTACTTTTGTAATTTATAACATATTTTTATAGTACCAATAAATAAATGTTATTATTTAAATAGTTACACAAGACTCAGATTTACCCTCAGATTTGAAAATAGAATTTAAAAAATATTAATTAAATACTTTAAGATCGTTCATAACTTTGAAGTGTAGCAATGTCGTAGTTACCTGTCAATATTCAACAATAATTTACACTCTGCTATCGAATTTAATTTATTGAATGGTTGATGCGTGGTGCGCAGGTGCAGTCGCTGTCATTCCACCCGCTGGAGGCACAGACGCTGGCCACGGGAGCCGCGGACGGCCGCGCCCGCGTGTGGGATTGCCGCGTGGGCCGGGCGCGATCCTGGAGCCTGCCGCCGCAGGTCGAGAGAGTTACTTGGGACCGGCACAACCCCTTCTGCTTTGCCGTAAGTACCACCCCTACTTAGATTCGTTCAATCCTTTAAGCTGATTAAGTGTCTTTTATCTTTAGATGTTACTCGATAACATCTGAACATCTTTACAAACATACATTTATATTATTGTTAGGATAAGGGGAAGAGGCGATTGTTAGTAATAGAGACTCTAGTTTCCATTGTTAGCAATTCCCACCTCTCGAAACATCTATAATGTATCCTTCTATTATTGTACACGTATTGCCCGCTGGTAATTAAGCATTAATTTTACCTTTCCACTTAGGGTTTACTGGAAAAGAACTCTTAGCTCGCTCGCCTGTAGTATATTATGTTCACGTACTGGCCACTAATAATATGTAAATACTGGCCGGTAATAATTTGTTCTATTTATTCTTTCAATGAATAAATTAGTGTTTAACCAACTCGCTTGCGTATCACTACATGGTGACAGCGGTGCGTTCATTTTATAGTTTTAAAATTCATATTTTATCATAAATATCAAATATTTTTTTTAAAATTGATATAATTTATTGTAAATTATATTCGTAAATATGGAGCACGCGCGTCCTCCAGCGGAATTGTCGCTTGATGGTGGTCCAGCTGCACGCTCGGAAGCGTGGCGAAAATGGCGGAAAATGTTCGAGATTTTTCTGAAGGCTTCTGGAGTTAGTAAGGAACCTAAGGAAGTTCAGGCAAGTTTGTTGGTTAACCTCATAGGACCGGCCGGATACGAGGTCTATACTACTTTCACTTTTGACGATGGCGAGACGAATGATGATATCAATTGTTTGTTAAAAAAATTTGATACTTATTTTGCCACGAAGCCAAATATTACGGTAAGAAGATTTAAATTTTTTACACGCAACCAAGAAGACGGCGAAAATATTGATCTATATGTGACCGCCTTACGAGTATGGAGTCAACAATGTGAATTTAATGAATTACAAGAGAGTTTGTTACGAGATAGAGTTGTATGTGGTATCATCGACAACACTGTAAGAGACAGGCTTCTTCGTACGGACGACTTGACTTTAAACAAGGCGATACATATATGTCAGGCGGCAGAGATGTCTAAAGAAGAAAGTTTATGTATAGACAGGACACCGGAAGTTGTTCAAGTGAACGCGGTTCACGATAACAGTGTCGTCCGAGGCGCTCGACCCGCACGGGGTTCGTTCCGGTCGAACGGAAGGCGACAGCGTGGCGGCGGCCGTGGCCGCGGCGCAGCGAGCTACCAGCAGCAGGAGCAGCAGCGGGAGGCGCGCGGCGTGTGCCCCGCGTGCGGCGGCCGGTGCCCCGGCGGCGAGCACTGCGCCGCGCTGTATGCATCGTGTTATGTATGTGATAAAAAAGGTCATTTCGCGCGAGTGTGTGTACAAAAGAAAGCGATGCGCAAAGTATTAAATCTCAGTGTAGAATCGGCGAGTGACAATAGTGACGAGGAAATGGTTTTTGTGGATACTATTGAGGAGGGCAGAAAACTGAGTAAGTCGTCTTTGGAATGGACAGAGGTAATGGAGTGTAATGGTAAAAAAAATATTTTAAAAATAGATACGGGTTCTATGATCAATGTTATTTCTAAAAAAATATATTTGTATTTGGGTTTCTCTATTATGAATCTTAAACCGTTCACAAAACGAGTACATTCCTTTACGGGTAATCAATTGCCAATTTTAGGCTGTGATATAATTACTTTTCAATATAATAATAAATATTTTAATTTACCATTTGTTATTTCTGATTTTAACTGTCAGAATGTACTCGGGTTGGAAAGCTCAATTGTTTTAGGTTTAGTCAATCAAATAAGTGCATTAAATATTGAGCAATATTCTGATTTATTTCAAGGTTTAGGTAAATTACCAGGGAAATATAGTATTATAGTAGATAAAACCATACAGCCCGTTGTCTGTCCTACTAGAAAAATTCCTTTGGGACTTAAGGACAAATTACGTCAGGAATTACATAGAATGGAAGGGTTAGGTGTAATCAGAAAGGTGACATACCCTACTGAATGGGTTAATGCAATCGTTCCCGTAGCAAAAAAAGATGGCAGCATTCGTGTTTGCTTGGATCCTCGACCTCTTAACCGCGCAGTCCGGCGTGCGCATTACACTTTGCCGACGGTGCCCGAGTTGGCAGCGCGATTACGTGGTGCTCAGGTGTTCAGTGTTTTAGATGCACGGTGTGGTTTTTGGATGGTGGAAATTGATGAGGCCAGTGCTGACCTTTGTACGTTTGGCACGCCGTTTGGACGGTACCAGTTTTTACGTTTACCCTACGGCATTAACTGTGCACCCGAGGTGTTTCACGCTAAGATTAGGCAACATCTAGAAGATTTAGAGGGAGTCGAGTCTTTCATTGATGATGTTATTGTATGGGGCCGCAATAAAGAGGAACACGATTGTAGGCTTAAATGTCTTTTGCTACGTGCCAGGAATGTTGGTATAAAATTTAATCGTCAAAAATGTCAATTTGGAGTGTCTGAAATTACATATTTAGGACATAAGTTTGATGCAAACGGTATGCGAGCAGATTCCGCAAAAGTTAAAGCAATAATGGAGATGCCTTATCCTAATGATAAAAAGGCACTAGAGCGATTCTTAGGAATGATAAATTATTTAGCAAAATTTATCCAAAATTATTCGGAATGTGTAAATGTGTTAAGGTTATTACTTAAAAAGGATTCCGAGTGGTTGTGGGAGGCTCAGCACACTGAGGCTGTGGATAAACTGAAAGCAAAGCTAGCGAGTGCGCCAGTGTTGGCGTTGTACTGTGAGCGCACCCCCGTAGTAGTGTCGGTTGATGCGTCCAGTGTAGCATTGGGCGCTGTGCTACTGCAAGATGGTCGTCCAGTAGAATTTGCATCGCTCACTTTAACCGACACTCAGACCAGGTATGCGCAGATAGAAAAGGAAATGCTAGCTATCGTGTTTGCAGCCGAACGTTTCAGGCAGTATATCTACGGTAGATCAGATGTCACCGTTCATACGGATCACAAGCCGTTAGAAACTTTATTTAATAAACCATTAGTTTCTGTTCCGGCGCGCTTGCAGAGGATGATGATGAGAGTTCAAGGCTATGATTTTAAGGTAGTATATACACCGGGAAAGTATATGTATATAGCCGATACACTGTCGCGGGCACCTTTAAAAGATCTAATGCATGATCGTGTTACTGACGAAATTGAAATTCAAACATGTTTCGTGTTACAACATGTACCTTTCAGCGAAGAAAAAATGAAGATTATTAGGGGTGAAACGAAGATTGATAATGACTGCAGACGACTGATGAATTATATTACTAACGGTTGGCCTAAGAATAGACGTGACGTCCATGAGAATATAATTGGTTTTGGCCTTATCGCGAACAACTTCATTGTATGGATTATATGATTTTCAAGGGTGACTGTATATTTATTCCGCGCGCTTTAAGAGACAATATGGTATCGCGAGTGCACGAGGGACATTTAGGCATAGAGAGGTGTAAGCGGCGTGCTCGCGAGGTGATGTTCTGGCCGGGCATGAGCGAGGACGTGGAGCGCGCGGTGCGGGGCTGCGCGGCGTGCGCGCTGCACGCGCCTCGTCCTCGGCGCCAGCCGCTGCTGCAGCATACTGTTCCGGCATTGCCTTGGCGGAAGTTAGCTTCCGATATTTTTGAATACAAAAGGAAAAAATACATTATTTTAGTTGACTATTTTTCTAATTTTGTAGAAGTTGGAATATTACAAAGTCTGAGCTCTAAAAACGTGATTAATTTTATGAAGGAACAATTTTCACGTCACGGTATTCCCACTGAATTAGTTACTGACAATGGTCCAGCTTACAGCTCGATTGAATTTAGGAGGTTTATGCGTGAATGGGAAGTAGAACATGTGACGTCGTCTCCGCACCCACAGTCTAACGGAAAGAGTGAGAGGACCGTCCAGACGATAAAAAATATATTAAAGAAATGTGTGGACTCATAAGATTTTTACATGGCATTTTTAAATTTTAGGGCTACACCACGGAATAATTTAGACTCTCCTGCACAAATTTTAATGGGTCGGCGAATAAATACGAAATTACCGATTACTGAAAAGTTACTGTCTGAGAAAGTGAATAATGAACGGAATTATTCAGCGTTAATGGCAAACAGGGAAAAAATTAAAAAGCATTATGATCTGTCGACGAGGCCGTTGAAACTTCTCTTTCCAGGTGATAAAGCGACTCTTATTGATAATCGTTGTAGAAAACAAGTTTCAATTGTAGAGCGTACCCGTCAACCCCGATCATATATTGTGGAAGATGAACATGGAAGTCGTTATAGGCGCAATCGCAGTCAATTGGTCGCACGTACTACAGGAACTCGTAAAGCAGCTCATTTGTTTCAAAGTCGACCAGCAGCGTTTCTTGAATGCGGCACTTCACAAGAAGCGATTTCAATTAAACGTGCACGTAAACGTAGGCAAATTCCTCACAATATGTCTTCGTTGCCTCAAAGCTCGAAAGAAATTGCCACATCTAGTACTGTTACGACAGATGTTCACCAATCAGCTTCTTCACACAGTGAAAATAAACTACTAAATGATAAATCACTTTCGCCGCCCTTAGTTCCTATAACAAGGTCAAAGGAAAGAACAGCGCGAATGCTGACAGACTTATTTGTTAAACAATATAAAGAATAAAATAGTAGGCTTAGTTTAATATTTTCTTTTATGATTATTATTAATCTGGAGTGTTTTTATTTTTATTTTTAGTTATTATGTTTGATGATGTTAAGTTTCTTTTATGTTAATAACTAAGCGTCATGTTATAAACTTACGATATACTATACATAGATATCGAAATATTTGTTGTTCTTTGAAAAAAAAAAAGTAATATATTTTTTTTTTCTTTATTTGTATAACTCGTTACTTTATTATTATTATTTTTTTTTTTTTTTCGAAGGAAAAGAGATGTAGTATATTATGTTCACGTACTGGCCACTAATAATATGTAAATACTGGCCGGTAATAATTTGTTCTATTTATTCTTTCAATGAATAAATTAGTGTTTAACCAACTCGCTTGCGTATCACTACAGTACATTTTTATTTAATATATATTATATGTTTGTAATTTTTTGTGTACAATAAAGAATAAATAAGAATAAGAAATTTTTCATAAACGGAGATTTCAACATATCCATACTGATGACTTTTGTACAAAACTCCCTCTGGTGAATATCAATGATAAACCATAGAAATTTATTTATTTTTGTAATAAATAACATTCATAATATAAAAAAAATCCTTGCAGGTTAGTAACAATGAAGGGAAAGTAGCATATGTGGACTGCAGACAAGACGAGCCTTTGTGGACTATACAGGCACACGACAATGAGGTCACAGGTGTGTATTTATCAGGTTGTATTCTGAGGAACTCTTCGATGCCTACAACCACCCTCGCCATTTGCAGCAAATTCATCCTTACACCCTAAAACCAAAATGATCACACATAGCAAGGCTTCAGAGGAAACCTTGCTATGTGTGATCCTGCGAGGTTTTCCCTAGAGGCTACAGCATGGTTTTCAAGAAGCGCGTAATAAGGCTTGTTAAGAGATGACAAGGCAAATGTTTCGTAAGGCGTCCATATTCAATTTCAAATCATCTTTATGTAAATAGACTTGTTGACATATACTTTTAAATTGTCCTACGCTACGATGACCGTTTACCATCAAACGGGCCGTGTGCTTGTTTGCCAACGTATTATATAAAAAAAAAATTATCTACTTCAAAAAGAAGTAAGTTTTTAATTGGTTTGAATATTTGTTGTTTGTGTACTTCCTAATTCCGTTTGTTATAAACCAATTTGGAAAATCTTTTTTATTTGAAAAGGATATACTTACAGATTGGTCCAATAGAAATTTTATCAAAATCGGTTTAGTAGTTTAGTTTTTAAATCAAAATAATTGGTTTTGTCACAAATGCAGTTTATTTTTTGTGAAACAACCTATATTTTTATCATGTTATAACAGTTTTATTCCTGTTTAGGTCTCATAATAAGCGATCACGTCCCCGGTCTGATGGTCACAGTCAGCACAGATGGAAAAATGAAGACTTGGGATATTTTGAAGTAAGTTTAAGTATTTAAATATGTTTTACATATTTAAGGCATATGACAAATCGCTTGTAAACTCCCATTCACTAATTTAGCAGTCACTCTTCTGCCAATAAGCGAACTACAGTTATTAAAATTGACAATTCCCAGTGAATTAGTCATGATGGACTAACTTCATCACTCACTAGTTCCCAGCCAGCGTATACCAATAGCGCAGACGGGGTTACTATTCTCACCATTTGTACCCCATAAAATAATAATATCTCTTTATTTTCAGGTATATACCCATAGTTTACATTTTTATATTATTAATTAAATAAATTATTATTATTTTTAAAATATACATCAATTATAAAATACCAATTTAAATTATTTCGTTATAAAATCTCTTGTCGTCAGGTATGCTGTGAGAAATACAGTCTTTACAATATGATTACTTATAAAAAATCATGTTACTAACAACATACTCCCCTGGGGCGGGGAGGGTGGAGGAATCATTAATAATTGGGTCTAACAGCCCCATTGTTAGCAATATACTCTAACAGGTCGACTTCCATACGGTTCCAACTGGAAGCCATCGTGGTTAATTCTTGTCGAATTCTTCACGATGGGCTGTCTGACCTGCCTTCATCCTCATCTATCATCTAATCACTGGTGCCCCACCGGGCACCATTCTATTAGTCTATTAGGCGGTGTTACCATTCTATTTTCACAAATACCAAGTTCTTATTTTGATAGCATGTAACATGTATGGTTGTGTGTGACGCGCAGCGCGTGCCCTGCGCCTGCGCAGACGAGCGAGCGCGCGTGCCGCGTGGGGCAGGCGCTGTGCGCGGCCGCGTGTCCCGAGGCGCCGTTCTCGGTGGCCGTCGGCGGCGACAACAAACAGTGCTACATCGAGCTCGTCGACCTCACCATTAGTGAACAAGGTAGTTCCAGTACAACAAACTTGATGAAATACCAATGATACACAGAGATAGCTTTAATTACAACTTTCCAGTGCCCAGTGTCAGGGCGAGACCTAAACTAGACTTCAAATAGTAGGTTCTCAACTCGTTTGTATGTTTTTATGTTTGTTACCTCATAACTCCGTCAGTTGTAAACCGATTTGGAAAATTCTTTTTTCTATCTCAAAGGACATACTTACAGATTGAATCCAAAGAAATATTATCAAGATCGGTTCGATAGTTTAGTTTTTAAATCAAAATAACTAGTTTTGTCACAATTGAAGTTTTTATTTTAATTATGTAAGAGATTTTAAAAAAAGAAACCCTAAAATTAAAAAAAATGCGACAAGCTCTCTGATACCGCGAAGTCGTGGTGGTGGCCCACGTCATCAACGTTTTAAGCTACTTCAGTATTGTTCACTGCTTTAAAATCACTTCTTATAAAATCGAGTCAAAAAGCATCTAAAGTCCCAAACTGGAGCTCAAAATTTAAACAAGTTGCTTAGCTAGATGAGGTACTTGATTATTATTTATGAAACCGAGTTTATAGTTTCTAACTGGCTCAAATATTAGAGAAGTCAAAACATTAGATTTTTATCTGTAGGTTATATATACATATTTAGAATTTTTTTTTTTCAGTTGTAAATCGGTTTGGCTCTAGACAACAAGTTTCAATAACTACAGAAGCAAATGATGAAGCTATGGATACATAGAAAACTATTGAATTTAAAATATAATTGATTATATTATCTTGTTATTAAGTGTTTTATTTATAATCTTTTTAAGATGCAAATGATGTTTTTCAATTTATATCTAAATTCATAGATTTAAGAAAATATTAATGAAATAAATAATATACATATCATACCAAGTTAAAGTTTAAACTTTCATATTGCTATTGAATCTTATTGAGATTCAATACGTTTTTGTTCACTAGAAAGGAACAATATGCCAGATATTGCCGTCTCATTCTATCACATGTAAGCAATACCGATTCAATGGCCACTTACCTAGAGGAGCTAAAGTAGTCTGTCGTAAAAATGTTCATACACTGAGCCATTTTCCTTTTAATTAAAATAATTAATTGTGTGCCACTTTATAAAAATATTTAATAATAACTCTTTATTGCACCAAAAACATAAAAATGTCTAAGGCAATCTGGTGCAATCAAAATCATGTTTTGTTGCCATTAATTAAGGTATGTAGCTGTATGAATACACACAAGTTATTAACAGTCATGTTGATATTATATGTGGTGTTTATTAAACATTGTAACAAAAATATAAATAAATATTTACCTTATTCAATTACAACAAGAGTCAAAATTGTTCAGCTACTTTGGTATAGAACAAGCAACCGCCACCATAATACCATCACGTACCATCACGTCATAGCAGTGTTGCTGTATCATAATTTGGCGCGCGCGTCACTGAAAAATAAATTTAAATAAGTATAACAATCGTGTTATCATCGTCGAGGGATGGGCAGCAGGGCCCCTCTTAAAACATCACCAAAGGTCTAATTGCAGTTGCCAACCCGCCTTCCAAGCTTGGCAACTACTGGCAAAACCCTTATGAGGAATGCTTATATTCAGCAGTGGACAGTCAACGCCTGATATGATGTTGATGATAATAAATTTACTATTGTAATCTTTTGAAAGAAACAAGAGTATCTATCTATCTGCATAATTATTTATTCCAATGTGTCAAACGCTCGGAATTTCTAAATATTCACGTAGACTAAGAATCATACGTAGTCTATACGCATACACGGTCATGTTTCCACGATTTCTATACTATAGTATTTTATATGAATAAAACAAAATTATAACAAGTGAAATTATATTTGCAATCTTACATAATTTCTAAACATGATTAATATAAAATAACATTATGTAATCGATCAAAAAGTATAGCACAAACAAAATGTTTCTAATACTGTTGTTATTGCTTGCTCTATATGAGATAAACATAACAAGTTTCCATTTAAATGCACAACTATATTTTACATGGAGAACGCGTTATAATAAGTTTAAAAAAAAAAGTATGAAAATACATATATACATACATATATTAATAAGATTTCTTAATATATAATGAACACATGACCACTGGTAGTTCAGGAGTTCTATAATAATCGAATATATGTCCTTTGAGATATTTTATTATATATTATCATAATTATACATAACAATATATGTAGTCTTATATGCTAATATAATATATAAGTAAAAATACATATATAAATAAATACTTCATAATTGATCAGTGCTCACAAGTATTCATATAAATTTTACATTTAAACTTGTCATTTCAATAAACTTTACTGTATGTAATTTTTAATATATCGCTCATTTTATATTTGGAATTATATTTCTGATATAAATATTATGTACAAAGACAATTTCACAGCCGAAAATAATAGTCTCATACAATTTTATAACATCAAATTGTATTTGAGTACATAACAGTTTATAATCTTAATATTGCTTGTATTGTTTTATGACAATACGATCACTATTGCCTAATATTAATATTGATATTAATACGACCTTAAACAAATTCAAATCAACTTTGTATAGATTCTTTTGTTAAATTTATTCGGCTTAATAACAGCATGGCATGTATCATTGCACATATATATATAGATTATAAGTGTACAAATCTTTGAAATTTAAAATATTACTGTAGTCTATTTATTGTATAACTAGTATTGTAGTTTTTATAAATTTTCATACTAATAATAATATATTATGAATACGCATGTCGTGGCGGCCTTTAATTGAGGCAGCATTTTATAATGTAACCTTATTATCATGTATTTTAAGTAGATATATGTATGCTTTGTTGGTTGTCCTTAAATAAATAAATAATAAATCTAAAAATATCGGATAATATCGAACATTATATATTAAAATGAAGTCAGTCGATTAAATAAAACATTTTATTAAATAAAGGTTGTAACAGAATTAATATTAGAATTTAAAAACCAAACAATTTTCTTTTTTTTTATGAAAATCGATTACAAAGTTTAAGAAATTATTTTCATATATCGATGCAGCCCCCACAAGTAAGCAATTTATGTATCAGCAGATACGGTTTCGTTAAAACACGCATGAGAAAGAAAAGAACAACAGAAATAGCTGTCTCGTTCTATATCATGCACGAGGTAGCGTGTATCTATCGATAAATTCATTTGCCACTTGTCTAGCTTAACCAGTCGCTACTTATATAATTATGCAACTTGAAATAGCGTAAGCAAAGAGACACCTCGCCTTATGGAATACAGTAACCGTCACCTACACATAGGAATAGAACTATCGCTGGATTTCAGATATTTATATTGACTCTTCGTTACAGCCTTTTTTAGCTTTGTCCATTAATTATGTGAGCTTAAAATATAGGAAGGGGTCTGGCGATTTTTCACCAAATCTCATTTATATAGAGGGTCACACTTCATTTTACAAGGGGGGAACGTGGTTACCCAAATTAAAATAAACTTCATGTAAGCTTTGGAATCTCTCAACAAAAATAATATAATAATTATATAAATTATTATTAACAAACATGTGAAATAACAGAACACGATATCTGCATAATATCTCAGTCGTTAAATTTGATAAGCATGGCTATAAACTTGTATTTTTGTACACATTTCTTTTCTGATAAATTCTTTATTAACAACTGCTGGAATTATTGGTACCTAGAACAGGAACTTTGATACTAGCAGTTTATTTTAAAATAAACTATAAATTTTTGATAATAATGCAATGCAACGTTTTGTTTGAATCTTACGAATGTAACATACTATGTGTTTTCAAAAATATTTTTTTCAACCCGTTCATTCGAAATACGACTCGTAAGTATACCGAAAGCTGCCTCTTTAGACAAGATACAAACGAATCTATCGATAGAATAGCTATGGTCAGCGCTCACATGAGAAAGAAAAAGACAGCGCATAGCGCCATCCCATTCTATCTCGTGCACTCCCTGGAAATAACGATTCTATCAATAGATTCGTTTGTATTTTAACTAGGGGCTGGTTTTTTTCTCCAAGAAACATTTATTCGAGAAACATTCATGAATTACATCTAAAAATATCTAGTAATTTTTTTTTTGTAGAAAAGATGAAAGTGTAGTGCGTCACTCAGTGACAAAATTTTTACCTCGGCATAGGCATATTTAATGGGGGGTCTAGTGGGTCGTGTCCACTCCAGAATTCTCCGACGCTTACTCAGGTTGTATGCGAAGTTTTCAGCTATGCGCAGTTTCACAAAATATAATTGTGCTATTTTAAAAGGCCAGACCTTACCTACCTACCTACTTACTAAGAAATAAATCTTAAATATGCAAATGTACCTCGAACTTCGTATATATAATCCTAAACACTTAGGCCTAAAATATTTTCTAGGCCAGTCATCACCTTCCTACTCTTATCTCAATTATTATTTGGGATTGGCAAAAATGTGTATGTAAAATAAAATCGGCCCTAAATAGCACAAATGTTATAAAAATATTATTTTTAATTACTTCATTGTGTTATATATATTTATTTTTTATTTAAAAATAATACAAGACACACACACACAAATATTTAGAAACGACAGCAGCGCCAAATAGCTTGTGGAATTGAAAGGAACTAGTTATTCGTTTTTGGATTTGTTTTCACGTACCAAATGGTATTTTTGACATTATTTTGACAGTTAAATATTATGTTTATGGTGCTCCATGGCAATCTCAGAGTATACTGTGTCGCTCATGATATTATTGTTTGCATATTTATTAAGTTTTATTGAAAGAGACTACAGTACACTCCCTTACTATTCAACCAACACTCACCATAATATATTGGGATCAAGTTACCATTGAAGCCCGCATACCATAGAAACAAAGATAATTACTCATCGCCCGGGAACTTGGTGACCGCGTCGTGGAAGGCCCTCGCGACGTACTGTATGTTGCTGGGGTTCAGGCCGCATACATTGATGCGGCCCGACTTGAGCAGGTAGATGTGGTACTCCTGCACTAGGTACTCAACCTGGCGCTGCGTGAGCCCCGTGTACGAGAACAGGCCGATCTGCTTCACTATGTGGTCCCAGCTGCCGGGCGTGCCCAATCTGTCGACAATTACAATTATTTTACTGCGGGTCTACCATAAAATGAAATTCCGAAATTTCGGACTCAATTTCGTGTTTTTGTTTATACCAAAATCGGACCAATAAATGGAGTTTAACATTTCGTTCGTCATACATCCTATCATAAAAGTCCAAAGGAACAATATTTTAACATTTTTAATATTTCCAAACGGCATGTATTATGTAATTTTAACATCAAATTTCTGTTTCGTTTGGCTCCTAAATTTCGGAAAACATTTCATGTTAGGCCCTCTGTTCACCCGAGTTCTCGACTAATTTTATTATAGTTTTTTTTTTTTTTTTTACTAATTATAACAGATTATTAAATTCAAGTCCATTCTTTTTATTTTTTGCTTTTTTGTCGAATGTTCTATTTGTCATTTATTATTCTGCTACCTGCATCTCTCTTTGAATAATTTAAAAATAACTCGTGATAAGCAATTCCTTATAATTTTATTTGGGGGGTATCAAGGGCGAAACAGTATACTCCGTTATGTCCATGGTACTACTCGTGTCTATAGGCGACGGTTACCACTTTCCATCAGGTGGGCCGTCAGCTTGCTTGCCGTTCTAAGTTGTATACAAAAAAAAAGCTTGGGTAAATAATAGGCATTAATTTACCGGGAGTGAACTGATACCTGTAGAAATATTAAAGCTTACCTAATCAGCTCCGCCCTTAACGCTTCTCTCATTTGAATGACTCTCGACGACATCTGTTTAATATGATCCCTCCTGTTAAATAAAAGTATTCTTTAAAATAAAACAATAATATTAAGATTGGCCGTACAGTTCCAGTATAAAATGGGCTACCACTTTCTTTCCAGGGGGAAGAGATTGTTAGTAATGCGGGCTACCAGTTCCGTTGATAGCAATATACCCGTCATACCTCCACACGGTTCACCCTGGAAACCATCATTCTGAATCTCATCATGATGGGCTAACTGACTTGCTTTTTCATTTTCACCTATCATCCCTCACTGGTGTCCCGCCAGTGTATACCGTTAGCACAGGCGGAATTACCATTTCATTATCATTCATTAGAAAAAACCCTTCCTTTCCTGTGGACGTCGTAAGAGAGGTATACTAAGACAGATCCTGAATATAAGTATTTTTTTTAATGGATGATAATGGAATGGTAACCTCGCCTGCGCTATCGGTATACACCGGCGGGGCACCAGTAAGAGATGACAGGTGAGGATTAAGCAGGTCAGTTAGCCCACAGTGACGAATCTAACAATAAATCAATCACGATGGTTTCCAGGGGGCACCACGAGGAGGTCGACCTGATATAATATACTGCTAGCAATGGGGTTACTTATCCCCATTACTAACAATCCCCCCCCCCCCAATATGAGTATTGCATTCCACCGAAGCACTTACCACAGGTCGAAGAGCTGCTTGTCGCCGAGGACTGTAGCGACGACGCGCGCCCCGTGCGCGGGCGGGTTGGAGTACATGCCGCGCACGATCCACGTCAGCTGCGACTTCAGCGCCGCCACCAGCGACGCGTCCGACACCACCACCGCTAGGTTGCCCACACGCTCGTCTGCACGCAGGACAATTGCAAATATAAGTTTCCTTTTAATTGGATCATAATTTAGGATCAGAAATGGAACACATCATAAAAAAAATCGAATCCAATTGTGGCTTAACCAGTACATTTAAAAACTAAACTACTGCACTGGTTTTAGTAAAATTTCTATATGAATAATGTAAATAAAAAAAATGGTGTACAAATGACGATGTTGAGGTAAGAAACATAAAAAAATATTCCAAACTGAGAACCTCCTTTTTTTGAAATCGGTTGAAATGTAATGGTAACCCTGTCCGCGCTATAGGTATACACTGGTAGGATGCTAATCAGTGGTAATATTTATTTATTTATTACATCAACTGGATGAGCTTTACAGTCTTCCAATACGCTCACCAAGGAAAGCATCAGTACAATAACATATATAAAAAAGAAATAATACACAAAAAAGGAATAATATAAAAAAAAAACTTAATTATAAACAACATTCGTGCCTAAATCTCTGAACACCAACACTCTGTGGTCATCAGACGAAACTCCAGCATGTTGGAGGCAAATACATCCAATTGCGGATACTGGCTTAAAATATCATTGAGTAGTTTCAATGCATATTGCATTGTTAGGATAAAATGAGGTCAATTGCCCCATCGTGATGAATTTGCCAGGAATTTTCCAGAGTTCTTTTTAAGAGAGACCACAAGAAGACTGACAAAAGAAACACCCTTTGGTGGTACCCTAGCTACCCTAACATGAAAAAGTTAGCAATATATATTACTGATTTTTTCGTGTCACAAAAACTCAGTAATTTTATTACTGAGAATTGAATTATTATTATTATCATTAGACGCTGATAATTGCAAGTTAAATTTGTCAAACCGCTACACCAGCAAGGTAGTAAATAATACAAACTGTAGAGTCCAAAGTTCTTGGCGTAAGATTGAGCGCAGACGAGCTCGAAGCCGCGCTTCACGAAGTAACGCACCGCCCATGCGTCGCGGTCCAGGTCGCCCGACGCGAACCCTTGGTACGCACTGTCGAAGAAGGGGAACAGCTTGCGTTCCTACCGACAAATAATACGATAGAACAAAACCGCTTTAACTTAAATCCATGTAGTTCCGACATAAAATGGGCACCCCTTCCTTTCCTATGAGTGTCGTAAAAGCAACTAAGAGCACTTAATAATCGAGGTATGGGCAGCAGGGTCCCTCTTAAAACATCACTAAAGCCTAACTGCGGTTACCAGAGGGAGACTTTGTACAAAAGTCGATTGCTTGGATACCTCTGTCCCATTCGTGTTTCTACCGTGAAGCAGTTGTGTTTGCATGGCTGTGTTTCGGTTTGAAGGATGGGATATGGCGTGAATTTACTGGGTACAGAGGAATAATACCTGAGTTCTCAGGAATGGCAACGCATGGGGAGTATCATGGGCGAAACAGTATACTCTGTTATATCCATGGTACTGCTTATGTCTATAAGCGACGGTTACCACTTTCCATCAGATGGGCCGTCAGCTTGTTTGCAATTCTAAGTTGTATAAAAAAAAACCCAACCCGCTTACTAAGCGTGGCAACTACTGGCAAAACCCCAAGGGGGTTCCACAAAAAGTTTTTTGACTGCTCCTTCGAACGCGTGAATTTTAAAAATAGAACATATCAAGATAAAATAAACAATAAATTATAAATTAAACCTTCAAGAACACGACAGCGAAATCCAATTTGGTGCAATTGAAAAAACATACGGACACACAGACAGATTTTGAAAGAAATGTTATGGCACACGCTCAAAAGGAAAAAATATACTTGGCTTTACGTATTTTATTCTAATTATTTCTCTTATCTCGTTTTATATATATATATATATATATATATATATATATATATATATATATATATATATATATATATATATATATATATTACATCTTCATATAGGGTCGGCAACGCGTAATACCTCTGGTATTGCAGGCGTTCATAGGCTACGGTATCCGTTTACCATCAGGTGGGCTGTATGCTTGTTTGCCACCTCAGTAGTATAAAAAAAAATTAACATATATTGGTCTTATTAAGACCCCCATATTATTCTCTTTTTAATATCTTAAATATCTCCAATGTACAGACACAGTCTAGTCTGGTGTCATTTTATTAAATAATTAGTAAAAACTCACCTCCATAACATCGGCGATCTTCTCCCACTGCTCGTGTGTGGGGTCGATGCCGGTGGGGTTATGCGCACACGCATGCAGCAGTATGACGGAGTTCTCCGGCGCGTTGCTCAGATCCTCGATGAGTCCGTCGAAGTCGATGGCGCGCGCCTTCTCGTCCCAGTAGCGGTACTGGCGAGGCGTCGTGAAGCCGGAGTTAACAAATACTAAGTGGTGATTCTCTGAAGCAACAGAAACAATCTTTATTCAAGTGAACTTAATTTTAAGCATTTTTAAATCATCAGCTTTTAACTGTCCACTGCTGAACATAAGCCTCCTCCTAGGGGGGTTTTGCCAGTAGTTGCCACGCTTGGCAGGCGGATTGGCAACGGCAGTTAGGCTTTGCAGGTGTTTTTAGAGGGACGCTGCTGCCCATCCCTTGCCATCCTTTAGTTGCCTCTTATGACACCCATGGGAAAGGAAGAGGTGACCCATTCTAACCACTAGGCCGGAACCACGCGGCGATATAGATAGCTATACCCCAGTTTCCATTTTTAATTAAATAATTAATAACATTTTTTGGGGATCAATATAAGCAGTAATGAACTCACCCCACGTGGGACTGGAATAGTAGAATGTGGTGTACTTCAGGTGTTTGTTGAGGAACTCGGCACCGACACGCAGCCCGCCGGTACCGGACAGGACTTGAACACCGAACGCCTGCAAATTATTATGTTAAATTCAATGTTCATTATTTTATTTATTTTATTTTATTGGCACAAATACAGATCACAGCCATAAAAAATTTAAATAATAGTTAAAATTGTGATTCGACTAGGTTATAATCCAATCACATTATGTGCACAGCTTGAGTAATTCATGAAAAGCAAACACATAAAATAAAGAAAATACTTAAATTGTTATATAAATATATAAAAGATAAAACTATATAAAAAAAAATTATACCCAAGTCAAGTTCTCCGTAAGAAACTATTCTCCTTATTTCATAAAAAAGTCAAATATTTAATAAACCTATTTTAACAATTGTTTTGTCTCTTTCTTTTATGCTGAATTCTCAGTTTGAATGAATGTGATAAAATAGTGTCATAGTTAAAATAATAAAAGGCTTTGACGATGATAATATCAACCGTTAACTGTACACTGCTTAACATAGACCTCCCCCTTTGGGGTTGCTAGTAGTTGCCATTGTTACTAGGTGAATTGGCAACCGTAGTTGGGCTTTCGTGATGTTTTAATAATAATAATAATATACTTTATTATTCAGACTACAATTTGGTCCATTTTGTTAGTAACAGTTTTCTTACGGACTATGTTATTTTAGAAATGAAACACGTAGTTGCAATATCTATAATGATTAGTAATTAACAATGGACAAGTTGCTTGAACTATTTAATGAAAATAAGTAACAATAATAATAAGTTCTATGCTTTGAACTAAGTCAGTACTAGCAGAATTAGTGTTAGGTTTACAATATCGTGATCCTATTATCACTACTAATTGAAATATACTTGGTATAACTATTACAATACAACACTATGAATTCACTGGGAGACTTCCCACGGTCCGACGCAGAGGCGAAAAGAGGACGATTCGACGACAGCCAGCTATTTATATCCTTCATATTGCGAACAAACGCAGGTAGAAATAGGCATTGACGGGGATATTCATCGCCACACCCTTTTTTTTTCAGGATGTAATGTAAAGAAACTATGGGCGATAACATTCGGTCATCCTGTTAACGCGTTCGTCCCCGAACTGCGTCCAAGTCTGATGCATTATCTGAGAACATAAAATAACTTTAAGTTTATATTTCATCATAGGTACTGTATGTAATGATGATAATGACTATACGTTAATGCACTCGATCCTCTAGACATCCAGAAGAGAGTCTAATAGAAGTCAAGTTAGTTATCCCATCGACGGCCAACTAACTCGGCCATGGCTTGAACTAAATGATCCACATTATCATCTTCGTTGTGTATTGCCATGTGTACTTCGGTGTTCACTTTGGATCTCCGTTGTACATACTATTTCTCTCCCTACAAGACTCCAGAGCGTTCGAAGTAAATGCATTAGACAATGTATGTAAGTAAATTATGTCGAAGTGTGCATAATAAAGAAGATTTAGTTGACATTTTTCCACAGATACTTTTTTAGCTAAATACTCTTTATTATTTCCTCCACGGGATTATGTAAAACACTTATAGAATACAAACAAATACAATACACACTACCTTAACCGTCGATAACATTCGGTTCGTTTACTTCTGATATGCGTATCCACGGTTTCATATTCTCTGTACATGAAACACCATCGTAACGTCTCGTGCTTCTTTCTGATCCTCTCATATCGGCAACTCTATATCTGTCATGTCCTAATATTTCTGTAATCTGGAATGGCCCTTTATATAGAGGCATAAGTTTAGTACTCTGTCCGTCATTCGAGTAACTTGGTATTTTAATAACTACTAAGTCCCCAATATTATAAAGAGGTGCCTCTTTTCTCTTTGCATCGAAGGTTGCCTTTTGTTGATTTGCATTTTTTTTTAATATTAGCGTCTACCTTATTCCTCAACGCTGTAAGGTCAACCGTTGTCTCTGCATCGTCATCAATAATTCCATCATTTTTCATCCTTATTCGATATCCAAAGAAAACCTCACTTGGGATAGCGGAAGTGGTTTTATTAATTGTACTATTAATACCCTGCTGTATGCTCGGTATTTGTTGATCCCATTTATTATTATCAGTATTTGCACCCAAGCTTCGCAAGGCTTCCAAAATGGTAAGGTTATACCGCTCAACCTGACCATTTGACCTCGGAATCGCAGTGGCAATTACATGAGCTCTAATATTCCTTTCCGTACAAAAGGACATAAAAGTTTTTGAAGTGAAGGCACTTCCTGCATCACTAATCAATCGTTTAGGATTTCCAAATATATTAAATATTTTGTTAAGTTCATTTATAACGACTTGAGATTTAGTATTTCTAACGGCAGAAATAAAAACAAATTTTGTGAACGAATCAACGGCAACTAAGAGATATGAATTTTTTTTTGTGGTTTTTACAAAAGGTCCTAAATGATCTAGGTGCAGCGTGTGAAATGGTCGTGCATATTTTGGAATTGGATACAGTTGTCCGGGTTTTTTGCCATGAATATTTTTATAGTAAATACAATTTAGGCAATTTTTTATATATTTAGTAACTATTTTTTTTGCGTGTGGAAACCAAAATTTGGATTTAATCCTTTCTAATGTTTTATCCACCGCAAAGTGTCCTATATCGTCATGGTTAGCTCTGATTATTTGCCAAACGCAGCTCTTAGGTACTAACCATCGCCTACCATACTCTGTTCTTCGATACACTTTATTACCAATTAGTTCGTATTGATTAAAAATTTGTTTATTCGCCTCGATATCTCCTGACAATAATATTTCTCTAATGCTACATGTACTTGGGTCCTGTAGCTGAACGGATAATAACCAATCTCCTTCCGTTATGGACATGACATTATTTGAATCTGTAGGAATATTCTCTACTACTGGATTGCGACTTAGTGCATCCACATGTTGCATGTGGGTTCCTGGTCTATGCATTATGTCGAAATTGAACTCTTGTGTTTGTAACACCCACCTTCCTATACGCGGTATAATCTCTTTTTTACTCAAGGCATGTTTGACTGCGTTACAGTCAGTGAAAATTTTAAATTGAGTCCCTAATAAGTAATGGCGGAATTTTTGTAAGCCTGTCACGACTGCTAATAGTTCAAGTTCAAACGAATGATATTTCTTTTCTTCGTTACTTGTTTGTCGACTATAAAAATAGACTGGTTTTTCGCCATTATCCGTAACTTGAACCATTATGCAACCTATGCCCTCACGGCTTGCATCCGTATATAAATGAATTGGTAATTTAGGATTAAAAATTTTCAAAACAGCGTTATCAATCAAAGCTTTTTTAATTTCATTTACAGCTTGTTCTTGTTGAGGTCCCCATTGCCAGGCTGCATTTTTTTTTAACAAACATGTTAATGGTCTACATAAAATTGCGCAATTTTTGATAAATTTTCGGAAGTAATTTATTAATCCTAAGAATTGGCGCAACTGGTGAATGGTCTTAGGTGTAGGAAAATTATCGATTGCCTTCAATTTTTTTGCATTTGGGAAGATTCCGGCTTCAGAAATGTCATAACCTAGAAAAGTGATTTTACTTTGAAAAAAGGAACACTTGTCCAAGTTAATTGTTAAGCCATTGTTTTGAAGGATATCAAGTACTTTTTCCAAGCAGGCGATATTCTCGTTTAAGGTTTCAGTTGCGACAAGTAAGTCATCCATGTAACAAATTACTTTTCCAAAACGTAAATTACCCAAAATTGTATTCATTAATCTCTGAAACACAGCTGGTCCATTACTTAACCCAAACGGCATTCTTAAAAATTCAAAGTGACCATCCGGTGTAATAAATGCAGTTTTATAAATAGAATCGGATTTAATGGGGATTTGGTGATACCCACTTTTTAAATCCAAGGATGTAAAAAACTTGCAACCTTGCAGCCGGTCAATCAAGTCCTCAATCATTGGCATGGGGTATTTTTCTTTAACCGTAATTTTATTTAATTGACGATAATCGATACATAATCGTTTTGCTCCGGACGACTTATCCACTAATATTGCGGGACTCGCGTACGCTGAATTGCTATGCCTAATGATTCCATTTTTTAGCAAATCGTCTGTAATTTCACGTGTGATTTTCTTTTCGGATTCAGACATTCTATATGGACGATAACATATTGGTTTGGAAGAAGTGAGTTCTATTTCTAACTCTACGCTATTTGTTTTTCCTAAGGTGGACAAATCAACCGAAACACAATGAGGAAATTTTGAAATTATTGAATTTAAAATAGCTTTGTATTCATAAGGTACTTGACTACTATTCGAATTGATATTAAATATACCTAATGTTTTTGTTGGTTCGAATATCAAACGATCCCCAATACGAGAATACATTATAGAACTGTCTTCCGTGAAGTTACGTCCTATTAAAACGCTACATCCCATTAGAGTATCAATAACATACATTACTATAATTATTTCTACGGTATCAACATTTAATGTAACAGCTACCGCCTTAGATACTTGAATGGATGTGTCAGAAGTAAACCCTACTAAATTAATTGGAGTGTTCAAGGTAAATGTTTTCAAATTATGGTGCTCGACCATCTCACTAGTTATTAACGAACAGTCGCTACCCATATCAAAGAAAGCTTCACATTCACAATTATTAATTAATATTTTCTTATAAAATTTTTGTTTGCTTTTCTGTTCCCTTATCATTTTCACTTCTACATCTGTTTCACTTTTAGGTTTGAACTTATTTTTACACGCTTTTTCTAAGTGTCCTATCTTTCCGCATGTTGAGCAACTTTCATTATCTTTAACGGTACATTTATTTCTTTTATGACCTATTTCACCACAACGGTAACAAGAAATTCTATTTAGACCAATTGTATTATTAGTAGGATGTTGGATTCTGATAATGTCGGATTTATTGTCTAAAATAGATTGTGTATTTGGTCCTTGTCTACTTAAGGGTCTTATAACTGGTTTTTGAGTTATATTTTTATCAGGGACAGGAGAGACTGTGTATGTTTTGCCATGCAAAAAGGAAGTTAAGTCATCACAATAACGAAAACTGCCCGCGTCCGCCGCTGTATTAATATTTGGATCTCCTATTGACCCTACTATAATAGATATAATATCACGATCACTAAACTGTAATTGTAACCTATCTATTTTACCTTTTTGAGTGAAATAAAATTCATATAAGGACTGATTAGGTAGCGGTTTCGTTTCTATTAGATCTTTAAGTAAACCATACATGTTTCGTTTAATTTGAAAAGTATCTGACAACCTGTCACGCCAATCTTTCCAACGCCACGTGGTCCACGTGGTTTCAGTTTTTTGCAGGGAATCTAACCACGTTTTCGCGGTATTGCGTAATTTTTGTAAAGCTTGGAATTTAATCATACTATTAGCCCACCCAAACGCACGAGCATTAGCCTCGACCACTCTAATCCACATGTCTACATCATCCACTAGAGGATCAAACTCAGGAATCACTGAAGACAACACAGCGTTTTGACTCACGGTTGGCGACCTCTTCCTATGATGACTTTTACGTCGTTTTCGGTGGTACTTTTCGCTACTTGAACTTGAACTTGAGACTTGTTCCGACGTTGTTGAACTCGAGCTTGTGGACGTGGCGCGCTTGCGTTTATGTCTCCGTCCCATGGTGACCGACAAGCGCGTGTATATCGCACTTCTGATTTTAGAAATGAAACACGTAGTTGCAATATCTATAATGATTAGCAATTAACAATGGACAAGTTGCTTGAACTATTTAATGAAAATAAGTAACAATAATAATAAGTTCTATGCTTTGAACTAAGTCAGTACTAGCAGAATTAGTGTTAGGTTTACAATATCGTGATCCTATTATCACTACTAATTGAAATATACTTGGTATAACTATTACAATACAACACTATGAATTCACTGGGAGACTTCCCACGGTCCGACGCAGAGGCGAAAAGAGGACGATTCGACGACAGCCAGCTATTTATATCCTTCATATTGCGAACAAACGCAGGTAGAAATAGGCATTGACGGGGATATTCATCGCCACACCCTTTTTTTTTCAGGATGTAATGTAAAGAAACTATGGGCGATAACAGTTAGTAAAAAAGAAAAGCAAATTAATTAAAGCAGTTCACTCAGATGTGAGCCAGCCGACTAGATCAGCATCTGAATGAAATGCCCAATCATAGGCGAGTTATATTTATCGCCTATTACTCTTAAGACAGACGCTGCTGTCCATACCTCGACTATTAAATCCTTTAGTCGCCTCTTACTACACCCACAGGAAAAGTAGGAAGTTTCAGTGTCTATGGATATTAGGATAAATCTATGATGTATCCAGTGACGTAACTATACCATTTGGGGCCTGTAGCAAATTCTTTTGATGGGACCCTATCAAAAAAAACTTTTCACGTAAAATGAAATACTCAGGTACAATGCAAAAAAATGTGAGCTCGCGGCCTCTTGAGCCGGGGCCCTTTTGGGTCGGGGGCCCGTGGCATTTTGTCAGCCCTGCCATCCTATTGTTACGCCACTGGATGTATCAGATCATTGTATTGTATTATATAAGCTTTATTGTACATTCATATTCGCCACAGATATCAGAGTGCAATGCCAAGGTACACAGGCATAATGAGGTCAATGTAAGTATCACACTTTCACATTGCAATTTTTTTATAACACAGAGGCAAACAAGTGTATGGCTCACCGCAAATGTACAATCGGACCTTTATGGAGAAATATGCTAGCTTGAATATCTTATATATAAAATTCTCGTGTCACGGTGTTTGTTACCAAACTCCTCCGAAACGGCTTTACCGATTTTTATGAAATTTTGTGTGCATATTGGGTAGGTCTGAGAATCGGCCAACATCTATTTTTCATACCCGTCAATGATAAGGGTGACCCACCAAAATTTTTTTTTTTATTTTCTTGACATTTTTTTTTTATTTTTATTTTATTATAATTTAGCATTGAAAAATACATACAGCTTCAAATTTTTACCCTTTTACGATCAACCCCTGTATTTTAATTGCGATTTTTATATTTCGCAATAAGTGGTAAAACAACGTTTACGGGGTCAGCTAGTATATTTATAATCTTTTAAGGAATTTTTCATCGATAAGTAACGAAACTGTTTTTATCTTTCCATAATAACATGGCCTTGTCGGGGGGAAAGGGATTGTTAGTAATGGAGACTGAGAATCCCATTGCTAGCAATATACCCAACTAGGTCGACCTCCTCGCGGTTCTCCTTGAAACTATCATGATTAATTCCTGATGAATTTATCATGATGGGCTAACTGGCCTGTTTCATTCTCATCTATCCCTTCACTGGTGCTCAGCCAGCGTATCCCATTAGCGCAGGCGGAGTTACCGTTACTATACCATTTTCACTCATAAAAAAAAACATGGCCTTGTACTTAGGGGGGAAAGTGGTGATTCTCCACGTGGTTCCTTTGGAAACCATCGTGAACAATTCTTGTTGAATTCATCACGATGGGCTAACTGACCTGTCTCTTTATCCTCACTTATCATCCTTAACTGGTGCCTTGCCGGTGTATACCGATAGCGCGGGCGGGGTTACTATTTCATTATCACTCATTAAAAAAAAAACATGGCCTTGTACATTTTATTAATTTCTTTTTAAAATTTACTCATACTAAGGACAGAACTGCCATGTGCTCCCGGCATAGAATGAGCCACCAGCTCCTTTTTAAAATATCACCAAAACCTGTGGTTTCCAACGCGTTTGCCAAGCGTGGCAACTACTGACAAACCTCCCCCTCACTCTTATGGAGGGGACCTATTTTCAGCAGTGAAAAATTGACATGATGTTGAATGATAGAACAGTCTTTTAAAAGAAAACCCTTGATTTTATTTTCACCCTGTATAAATTCTATTACTGATTAAAACACAAATATTTCTCAATTGCTATTAGATTGGTCATTTTTAGCAACTTACGCGTCCGGCCGCTATTGCTGGGTTGTCCGCGCCGAGCAGCATTGACACAGACGCATTGGTGAACTGCTCCAAACCTATACGAGACAGAAATATTAAATTAACACAGGAAGTAGAAATATTTTATATCTATCTTCACGTCAAGTCCCTTTTTTTTATATACGACTTAGAATAACAAACAAGCTGACGGCCCATCAGATGGAAAGTGGTAACCGTCGCTTATAGACATGAGCAGTACCATGGACATAACAGTACAAACACATACTGTTTCGCCCATAATACCCCCCAGAGATTTTTATGATAGAGATCTTTGGTATTTAGTTCTCTCTGTTTATCTCGCAAGTAGTACAAAAGTCGATTGCTTGGGTACCTCTGTCCCATTCGTGTTGCAACCATAAAGGAGCTGTGTTTGCATAGCTGTGTTTCGGTTTAAAGGGTGGGATATGGTGTGAATTTACTGGGTACGGAGGAATAACACCTGAGTCCTCAAGATTGGCAACGCATGGGGGGTATCATGGGCGAAACAGTACACTCTGTTATGTCCATGGTACTGCTCATTTGTATACGCGACGATTACCACTTTCCATCAGGTGGACCGTCCAGCTTGTTTGCCATTCTAAGTTGTATAAAAAAAAATTCAAATAACGCACAATAATTACTAAAAAAAATATTGTTTTGACCTCTATTAATCTTTTTACTTGAGCGATTAGCGAGCGAGGCTCACGTGGGTCATTTAAGCCCAAAGGGCTAAATCTGTACCGTTCTGAAATAGCACCGGTTTAAATGACGTATCAATATAAAAAATACGCCAGACATTAAGTTAGACTTTTAGGAACAACAGAAAATCACATCCAATTTGATGAAGTAGTTTTTGCATGATGCCAGAATAAACAAGTTGCTAAAAATTGTTGTGTTAGCCACTCTCTTAGTCTTGTTTAGATCCCTCATATAAATTCTTAAATGTACAGATACTGTCTAGTTACAATTTCATAATATTTATAAGATAAGATTACACAATGAATGTTTGTTTTCTATATAAACACAGAATACTTTTACATTACTTTAAATAGGCAGTACCGCGAGATATAGCTAATACTAGTAACCCGCTCTGGCTTCGCACGGGTGGGCATTCTTTAGATTAATAACACTTTTTTATTTATGAACCGATTGAAATAAAACAAAATGTTGAGTGGAGCAAATCACAACGTATTAGTGAAAACCGCATTCAAATCGGTTAAGCCGTTTGAGATTGGCGTGTACAAACGTACAAACAAACAGACAAGAAAATCATTGTTTTGGGTTCTATTTCGTTCATAAAGTCCTTCTATAATAGTTTCTCTTATATATCATCTATGTACCGACATCGACAGCGACCAGAGCGCCTACTGTTAAACTTCAAACTGGCCATTTGTAAACTGTAGAATATAAATGATTTAAAAAATATAGTGTTGTCATTGGAAAGCTCAAAGAGTTGGTGTTTTATTTTGTTTACTGATTGCGTTTATAAATAATATATGCGCCCTTCGAACCCTCATTACCAATATTTTAAACGTGGCGACCGTAAAGTTCATAATGGACGCTAAATTAAAACAACGCTCAGTACAGAGACGCCTATTTACCAAAACGACCAACTCCCTAGAAGCCATTATGGACGGGTCAGAAATAAAAATGACCGATTTAAAGGCCTGTTGGAGAAAAATGAATGATATATGGGCAAATTTAAATAATATTGATAAAGAAATACAGTCGTTAATACTGGAAGATCCGGACTTTTCAGAAAATACGCTCGAGAAAGAATATGAAGAAGCTGAAAATTACAAAACAAGATGGCTTCTTCTAGATACGCGTTTCGAGCAAATGGCCGAAAATTTTAATAAAGATATAAATAAAATTAATGAAAAAGAATCTAATAAACCAGCGAAGCTACAATTACCCAGGTTGGAAATAGTAAGGTTTGACGGAATTCTAAAGAATTGGTTACCATTCTGGGGGCACTTTAAAAAAATTGATGAAGACCCCATATTGACACCAGAGGATAAGTTTCAATATTTATTGCAAGCTACCACACCTGATTCAGAGCCGCGTACGTTGATAGAGAGCTACCCAGTATCAGCGGACAATTATACCAAATGTATTGAACACCTGAAATCGCGCTATGCTCGTGAGGAACTATTAATACAGGTATATGTCAGAGAAATTTTATCGTTAATATTAGAAAAAAATGAACATCCTGACTTAACATATTTATATGACAAACTCAGCGCCCAACTGAGGGCTCTAGAAACTTTAGGAGTCGCTAAAGCGCATGCTGCTTTCATTTTACCTATGGTGGAATCGGCTTTACCTGAAGATATATTGCGAGCATGGGAGAGATTCACAACTCATAGTAATCAAATGGAGATCGAGTTGACAAACTTGCTTAATTTTCTACGCCGGGAGGTGGAGAGTGAGCAAAGAATTCAAATGGCAAAAAATGGTTTAAGTCCGATGTCATCTAATATTCAAACCCATAAAGAACCATCAGCTGCTTGCTTAATGTCAATAAAATCCAAAAATAAAGAGTCGAAGGTATGTATATGGTGTGATAAAGATAATCATTCAAGTCTCGAATGTTACAAAATTTACAAAATGTCTTTAGAACAACGATTACTACACTTAAAAAATAAAAAGGCATGCAGCAATTGTTTAAAGCAAGGACACCATTTCAAAGTTTGTAAAGCTTTTGTAAAATGTCTTATATGTCACAAACGACACCTTACTATCCTATGTAGAAATCAAAAACCAGTCGAACAAAAACAGAACACAGACAGTCATACAGTTACAGCGTCATCTATTCACAGTACTACATTGTTACAAACTGTCATCGTTGAAATCGAACATCAAAATAAAAAGATGTCCGTACGTGCTATGTTTGACAGCGGATCTCAACGTAGCTACATTAAACAAGAAGTGGTTGATTATTTAAAGATTCCTGCTGTAACAACTGAAGTACTGTCTCACTCACTGTTTGGTGGTATCAAAACAATTTCTAAGGAACATAAAGGTTATAATTTGTCGGTAAAAAGTTTAGACCATTCCTTTGAAATTAACATGTTAGCTTTAAGTCAAAAGTGTATATGTAATAATGTACCTAAAATTAACTTTAAGGATTCTGTGCTAGTAAAACATTTAAATGAGCATAACATTGTGTTGACTGACAAAGGCACATGTTCTGATATAAAATTGTTAATAGGAGCAGATTATGCAGGTTTTCTTTTGACAGGTAAGTTGATAAAAATGGACAATGGACTAATAGCAATTGATACCAGGTTAGGTTGGACTCTTCAGGGTGTACAGGTTAGTGTATTAAGTAATTCTAATACTACTATAACAACATTAACTTGTGATAATAATATTTTAAAAGAATTCTGGGTGCTGGAAAATCTCGGCATTCATGATCCAAGAGACGTAAAGTCTAAGGAGGCAATCACTGCAGAGGTCATGAGTTTCTTCGAGAACACGATAAAGGTGGACCCTACAAGTGGCAGGTATGAAGTTCAGCTTCCATTTAAAACAGGATATGAGGATCTATTATCTAATTATGAAAAGGCAAAACATAGGTTAAATGCAATGACAGGAAAATTAGTAACGTGTGGGAAATTCAATCAGTATCATGCAGTATTTCAGGAGTGGATTTCTTTAGGTATAATAGAAAAAGTTCCACCGTCTGAACTTAATCATGATACTGGTCATTATATGCCACATAGAGCTGTGATTAAAGAATCAAGTCTGACTACAGCACTAAGGCCCGTATTCGATGCATCTGCGACGGATAAAAATGGTTTAAGTCTTAATGCTTCACTAGAAAAGGGAATAAATTTATTAGATCGTATTCCTAATATGCTTGTCGGTTTTCGTTTAGGAGCCATTGGCGTGACAGCTGATATAGCTAAAGCATTTTTACAAATCTCTATACCACCTGAAAGTAGAAACTACTTAAAATTTTTATGGTGGGAGGAAGAAAGTTTAAAACAAATAGTAGTTTATAGACACTGTCGTGTAGTATTTGGTTTAACATGTAGTCCCTTTTTATTGTCAGCTACTATTAATCATCATCTCGAAAGGGTGACTGGCAAATTTCAAGAGACAGCACAGCGATTAAGAAAGTCTTTTTATGTGGACAACTGTGTAACGAGTTTAGACACAGAAAAGGAGACACGTAAATTTATTGAAGAATCTAAACTTATCATGGAGAAGGCTAAGTTCAATCTTAGAATGTGGGTAACCTCATCTTTAGCTATAAATGAAACGGGTAAAGAAATTATATCCGTGCTGGGTCTTAATTGGGACACAATTTCAGATGAATTGTTTTGTAATTGTGATAACATGCGAAAACTAGAAACATTTCAGAAGGTAACAAAACGGGACTTATTGTCATTGACACAAAGAATATTCGATCCTATAGGTTTTACTTCGCCTGTTACGTTAATCCCTAAATTAATTTTGCAAGAGACATGGCGTCGTAATTTGCCATGGGATGAAGAGTTACCGGCTGACTTATTTTCTAAGTTTCGAGATTGGTATAAATACATCGATTACTTAAGAGATTGCAGACTAGCACGTCGATTATCAGCTGGTATTTTAAATGAATCTCAGGTAAGCCTTCATTTATTTTGTGACGCAAGTATACATGGCTATGGTGCATGTGTCTTACTTAGAGCAGAAGACAAGCATGGGGTAACTGTACGATTTCTGCCAAGTCCAAAGTGACACCACCAGAAAAAATCACCATTCCTAGAATTGAGCTATTAGCTGCATTGATCGGATCTCGATTGTTAGTTAATGTTAGAAAAGGTTTATCCTTGTCAAAGTGCCCTGAGTTCTGTTGGACAGACTCTGCTGTATCTTTGAGTTGGATCAAAAGAGAACTGCCTTTAAATACATATGTGGGTAATAGAGTGAAAGAAATAAGAGAACATACAAACACACAAAATTGGTATCACATTCCAGGTGAACAAAACTGGGCAGATCTGGCATCTAGAGGCTGTAATGCAAAAATACTCTTCGACTGTAAATGGTGGTGTGGGCCCAAGTGGCT